AAAGCTAGGAAATCCGAACCGATAATTGGGACATCCACGTCAGCACAAATAAACTCCCAGCGAAATTCACGGCGCAGTCCTAAATTGAGGTTCAGATTAACTGTGCCGTAAGTTTTAATGGAGCTGCCATTTGCCGCATTGAGAGTAAGTCCTGTATTTGAGAAACGTCCTTTTATAAGTTTTCGTGGAAAACAACAAATGTCCGAACCGGTATCTATCAAAAAATTAATTTTGGTATTTTGATCGGTGATAAAAAGGCGTTTGCTGGACTGTGCGCGGTCGGTACTTGCCACGTCCGACCGCTCCCTTAGTTTAAAGGTTTGGTAGCTCCTTCAATGGTCCAGCTGCATCCTGGTATGCATTTGCTGGCTTTGTTGCCGAAACGATCGTGGTACCAGCAAAGCTTCTGATTACGTGGGCGTGAGCACGATCGAGAGCGGCTCCGCTTTTGATTAACGCGTGAGCTCCCAGATCGTTCATGGGTGTTTGTTCTGAGCGCTGAGACTGTTCGCGTCAATTCCTCGATCTGCCGCTGCATTGACGCGAGAGTGGGCTCAAAGGTATGATGCGCCGAAACCTGGCTCACGGTGGTAGGCCTCTCGGTCAACTCCACCAACTGGTCGGCCATCTCCGCCAACTCCGTCAAGTCCTGGATCTTCTGTGCGGCCAACACAATTTGAACCTGCCGGGGAAGCCGATTGGCCCAAATTGATCGCAGCAAGTCAGCGGGGAACGATTGCCCAGCCAGACTCTTCAAGTGTTGCATGAACGAAGATGGCTTGCGGTCACCTAACTGTTCCTTTTCTAGTAAGCGCCGCACCTTTCCTCGAAGGAATCGGAGAATCTAGATATGATTGCGCTTTTTAAAGTTGTGTATGGTTGCAACTCGGGAGGATGTGTGATAATATCTTCGACCTCCTTCGTACACTCGGTATCTAAATGCGCCACGGCGAAATGAAACTTGGTCATTTCGACGGTAATTTGGTTAATGTGGAACTGCGCCTCTAGGCTAGCAAACCACAATGCGGGCCGATCCTTGCTAAAAGGCGGGGTCCTAATTGCGACCCTGTTTACGTAAATGGAACTGCCACCGACTAGTGCAGTAGCATCACCCTCGTTGCCAACGTGGCCCTCTGAAACGTTAGGTTCTCCTTGACTCGCCATGGCTTAAAGGTAAAATCAGAAACGGTCAAATCGCAAAAACGCTTTACACATACACGCAGTAGAACAAATCGGTAAATACACAAACGAAACAATTTCAGTATTGCGCAGCAAACGTAATAATAAATTTGGTAGAAAAGTAAAGTAAGTCTAAATACAACATAAAATGATACTATCTTAAGTGTAAAATAGCACTAAACTTTCACTTGAACGAGTGTAAACGCAGCATCCGTCGCGAAGTATCAGTGGAGAGCTGTTAGTCACCTGACACAATGTTGCGGGTGATTGCCGCGCGTGGCGCGCTTTTCAACTTCCTCCTCGTCAAAGATGACGTAGCTCCGGTAGAGAAAGAAAAATGGCCGGCCTCGATGCGAAAAATGCCGGCTCAGCGCTACATAGAATGGACAAAATACGAGTCCAATAGCGATGTAGATTATCGTAGATGCGTTTACAGTTGTTGCGATTATAGCTTCATGGCTGTTCTGTACAATCTCCTTCGCAGGCTATACCATAGTCTCACTCGCAGGTGGCTTTTCTAGTCTCCCTAGCAGACTTCTTTGCACGGAGGGAAAAACAAAAAGAAGGAAGCGTACCTACACGGCGTCGCAGAATGGAACAAACCTCGATTATCGCGGAAATTGTTGTTTCCGAGCGAAACTGCAGAGCGTAGCGACGTGGACTCCGATGTTGCGCATATTTATCACATCACGTCGGGGTCACCAGTTTGGGAGCCGGCAGGAGGGAATAATTAAGATGCAGTACAAAGAACAAGCCGTGTTGGGAAAACCATAATCTTTTATTGTCAATAATAATGAAATTTGTCAATAATAGGGTAATGCTAGACCGATGAGAGTAAGGGTGTAAAAGATAAGAGCGGTGCTACACAGTAGCAAATGAGTCGCCACAAGATTCATATTTCACGTTCATGTGTCATACTGGTGCAATTGTCAAGCCATTGGCTTCGTCGCGAATATAGTCTCGACATCGTACGTCGTGGGTTCGTTTCACACATGGAACGAGTATTTGGGTCATGACAACCCCACTGGCGTAGTGGGTAGTGTACCTGCCTCCTGCGCCAGAGGGTGTGGATTCGATCTCCACTACTGGAAAAATATTGTGGGATGAACATAGTGTTTTTCTAGTGTCTGGGTGTTTATATATGTATATTATGTATTTATTTACAAAAGAAAAGTATGTTTAAGTAAACATACTTAAACATACTTTTCTTTTGTAATCAATCAGTATCATGTAATCAGTTTTCTTGTACCCATAGTACAAGCTTTGCTTAGTTTGGGACTAGAGAACGTTGTGTAAAAATGTGTCCTAAAAATATTATTATTATTTGTGTACATATAATTGTTCTGGATCCAGGTCCAGATTCCTCCTTGGTTGATTTCTGACAGGCGGCCAGTCGAAAAAATCCTAGACAATGCCATTAACAACATGACTCAGATGTAGCGTTGACAGTATCCCGGTGGAATAAAGCGAAGAGGATGATTGTCTCATAGATATTATTATCTAAATGAGTAAATGGGTACTTATGTACGTCTAAGAATGTCCTTATTGAAGGTTAAAGAAATATAAATGTCTGAACGATAAGAAGTGCAAATAAAGTGTTTGTTTGTTGTCGTTGCTTCTTCATTTTAGAGCTGTATACATAGCGATGTTGTCGCTATGTCAAACTATATGTTTACATTAGTAACAACTATATTTTTATTATCGAAGCGGCCATGTGCGAGTCGGACTCGCGTACGAAGGTTTCTGTATAATTGTCTTTAAAAACGGCAAAAAAAAATCATGTCTGTGGCATGGGAGCCCCAATTAAATATTATTTCATTCTGTTTTTTATTATTTGTTGATATATCAACAGAAATACATCCTATGTGAAAATTTCAAATGTCTAACAATCACAGTTCATCAGATATATATAGCCTGGTGACAGATGTAGAGATAGACAGCGGAGTCTTAATAATAAGATCCCGTTTTACCCTTTGGGTATTGAACCCTAAAAACAAAACAGTGAGCATATTATGTCTCGGTCAATATATATTTTCTATTTGATTTTGAGGAGTATATTGTATATCCCGAGTCCAAATTCCAATTCCAATGAAGTTATTATTTATACGGTTTTGAGTGAACCATACGTTTCATGACATCCTTACTAATACTATAAAGGCGAGAGTTTGTATGTATGGATGGATGTTTGTTACTCTTTCACGCATATACTACTGAATGGATTTTAATGAAACTTTACAGTAAATATAGCTTATACATCAGGATAAGACATAGGCTATAATTTATATACATATTTTATGTACATCTGTCTTTCTGTCCGAATGTTACGCCTTCAGCCTATACTACGCAGACGTAGTCGCGGGCAGCAGCTAGTATACTTATAATTAAAGATTTGTATGACATGTGCAGTTTTATGAATTATATTGGGTCACTCATATCCTTTGATTATATATTTGTCTTTTTATGTATGTTTTCATGTATATAATCAAAGCTTATACCACATTATACAGCAGAAAAATACATAAAAACACCTGGTAATAGATAGATAGCAGGAAGATGATTTTACGTCGTTTCGCTTTTAACGAAACTTATGTTATGTTTTATTTTAATTGAACAGATAAACAATTCAAAATGATCGTGCAAACAGATGTAACGTTTAACGATTTCCTAAAAAATAAACTAAGAACAGATCGTTTTGAAGCAATGTGCGAGGACGTGACTCCGCTTTGTTTGGATGAAATCTTATTTCATCACAATAATAAAAGGAGAACAGTTGTCACAAAATTGCTTACGAGGTCATTAAGAAATTCAATTACCAAGTGTCTCGCCAGACATTTTTTTAACTAGTGACGTAGGTATCTTTGATGAAACAAGGCGATTGGAGGGAAATGAACAGCTTGAGATATTACAGTGATTTTTTATCGATGAATAACATTATGAACTATCTATCACAAGTTCGATTAAATAATGCTCTTTCGCCGATGTTGTCAAAGCCAAAAATGCTAACAGCAAACTACACAAAAAAATCTCACATATGAATGGCATTGTCCATTTTTAGGAGGGCTTCTCAAAAAATTATTATGGCTATTATATATGAAATGACTATTTCATCACTGAGAGTTGACTAGTTATTGTAAGGTTTTAATTGTATTATAAGAAAAATAAATTATTCAACATTTAACCTGTATATCGTGTAGTATAACTACATATAGGAATAAATACATAAAGAGACACGTACAGATGAAATAATAAAATTTTTCAGGAGGCAATTTATGAAAGCTAATTACTACTGGAAGTAACAAGATATTATATTATTATTATATATACTTTATTGAACACCAAAAAAAATAAAAGGAAATGTTACAGAACTATAAACTTAAGAGGGATAAACAATAAGACGGTCTTATCGCTAAGGAGCGATCTCTTCCAGACAACCTTGTGGTTAAAAATATTTTAGTTTGAACAGCGGTAGGTGGTGTAAATGATAAACTTACATACTAACATTTAAATAAACTAAACGAATATGTTGTAGTTTTGTATAATAATAATATACTAATACATACCAAATAAGATACAATAGACATACATAAATCTAAACATATACTATACATAATTATCCTAATCAATTAATTTTTGATTACACTATTAGTTATGACAAATTATTACTATTTATAATAATGTAAATTCTATAGTCTAAATATATGCGTTATTTATGGCGTCTTAATATCGATGTTTCGAGACATCATAGGAATAATTGCAAGCGTTTAAGATACAATAAGGCGACAATTTTCTTTAATTTATAAGTGTCATTTACTTCTTTAACCATGCAGGCATCATCGAACCTTGGTACCCGTGTCAATGACCAGTCGACTACTAAGCCCAACAGGTGGGGAGCTTATCAGAATACGGTGGTTCGATACGCATGACCGGCATTGAAAGCACTCCGACGTGATGAAACGTGTTAATTGTGCTGTCATACTTTTTTTTAGCATTTGTAAATCTTAGAATCAATTGCAGGTAGTGCATTCAATAGCGATTGCGACCTACATACGTAACGTGTCATAATGAATAAGATTACTAAACCAAAAGAGATTGTTTATTTTTTAAGATACATTTTTTATGTGAGAAGGCGACGAGCGAGCTGACGGTTCTCCTGGTGTTAAGTGATAGCCACCACCGCACTGACATTAGCAGCACCCGAAGGGTTGCAGATGCCTAATAAAGTGGGCCCTGGCTACCTCACTCACCAGACGAAACGCAAAAGCATCAAACTTCCACTTCACTGTGGTCTTCTGTGAGGTCGTGGCACTCACCTGGAGACCTGCCGAGGCATGCAACAGTAAGGACTGCCACTAAATCGAAATAAAAATTTCAGGGCATTTTTTACACAGCGTTATCTAGTCCCAATGTTAGTAAAGCTATGGGTACTGATTAACTTAGTATTAAGTGTATTTTCCTAAATAAATGCATATTATAGGTATATAAACGGACACCACAAAAACACTATGTTCATCACACAAATTTTTCGAACCGGCACCCTCAGGCGCAAGACACAGGTCGAATTCCCATTTAGCCAATTGGACATTCAATATATTTATTTACTTTTATATCGATTTCTTAACTTTCCGCGAACGATTTTAAATTAGACTTTTAATTTTGCATTACGACTTCATTTAAACTAGCATTAGCTGCTAAGTGTAAGGAACACCGAAAACTAATCAAAATGAAATGCGACTAATCAAATGACATACGAAAAGTACCTTAACAAGTATTTTATAATAACAGTAATCGTAAGATTATTTTTGCATAAATCACGAGGTATTAATATTTTTTAAAACGTCTTTAAAAATATCAATACAAAGTTCGTACATTTATATCCCCTATCTGTAATTAATGAGATAGTTAAGTACGTAGAATACTGTATGTAGTAAATTCTAATTGAAGAGCCAATTAGGTCCGAATATTTAGTGATTTGGCAGACACCAATCATTTGAGTCTACGAGTCACAAGGTTGTAGATCGCCTCTCGACTCGTATTATATATTTTGTGCGAATTTATATTCCACGAAATATGTATTATATACATTTAAATTAACACAAGAAAACCAAGATAACATTCATAGCCTAAATGAGGATTCAGGTCTCTGAGGTGTTTAATATGACTTTGTCGTAATTGAAAAAATATGTTATGAAAACGAATGAAGGAGCTTTTTTTGCCGTCATAAAATACGAGTATTAGTATGTAAAGTGGCATAACTTATAACTCATTTCGTTGTTTTTTGGTACAGAAATTAAAAGTGTTACATTAACTGATTTACTGACTGAAAACACCTCTGTAGGGGTAACTTTGCTAATCTAGGTATTTCAGATTCAACGAGTCTTCCTTGAGCACACAGTACCGTATTGCTCATCGTTCAGCCAATTTGCTTTCCGCAGATAAGGTGTTTATCGCAGAGACAACACGACTGTGGCGCGGCAAATGTTAGGACAAGGGAACGGGGGTGGGTCAAGAAACCTTGCGTGACGCGCCAGCATTGCGTAACCGACGGGCCGGTACGTAGACGGTAGACCGACCGCCCGCGCCGGCGCTCACGGCCGTTTTCACCGGAGGGACGGCTCGCAGCGGCTTAACAACGGCACCGTTGCGCGGGCGGCGGTCAGTTGCCGACACGCCACGCTCCTGCGCGCTCCCCTATTTGCACACAGCCGACAAAAAGCCGCCGCGCAACGAGTTTGGCAACGGATCCTTACAATTAGATTGGCCAACGCGCCTATAAACAAGTATAAAAGGAAAAAACGGCATAAGGTCTGCGCACGGTGGGAAGATGAAACCGGCAATTATCTGGCTGCTGCTGGTGGCGTGCGTCGCCGCGGAACTGGGCGAGGACCCCTGGGTCGAGGAGGAGGACCTCGACGAGCCGTACAGCGACGACGAGTACGCACACGAGCGGAGAGCGAGGGAGGCCGTGGAGGGACAAGGAGCCAAGCGCTGTGACGAAGAAACGGTGCGATCCACGGAGGACCACGTGCGGAGGCCGAGGCAGGTGCACCAGTACGAGGTGCACGAGATCCACGAGGAGAGCGGCCAGCCGTCGGTCCCGTACGAGGAGATGCTGGCGGCGAGCGCTGAGCACTACCACAAAGTGCACGCGCCCCCATCCGGAAAGGCGGCGCGCTATTTGAGCGCGGACGTGAGTCACCCCAATAACTTGGCCGTCCGTGTTGTGCCGTCCAACCCAAACCCACAGACGTTCCAGGCTCCCTTGGGTGTCCCTAACCTGTTGCACGCTAACTCCGCCCCGGGCTCGGTGCAGGGCTTTGTGAACGTGCCAACAGGGCAGCTGCCACGGCAGACGCTAGCGGCTGACCAGCTCCCGGCAGCTGTCCACCACCAGCCGAAGCACCACGGAGGGCACGGTCACTCGCAAGGCGGCGGCCACGGACATCTAGCCCACCACCACAACGAGCATGGCGCCAAGGTGAGTGACTTTTAACGGCTTCAAAATGGGGTGGTTCCCATTTCGGTTATTTTTTTTATGTTTGTTACCTCTCAACTGCCACAAGTATTACTGACTTTAAAATTTTATTTTTGCATTGAGTACGGTGTAGTGGTATGTGGCACCATATTAATTTCATTAATGTCGGAAAATCGATTATGTAGATACATCAGGAAACTCCTCAAAAGAAAATATAGAGTGTGAGTGTGGTATTTGTAGTCGGTTTTGTTTTTATAACTTAAATGTTCTTGTTGTCGTACAATTTTGTGGTAACATAAATTTAATTAGCTAACATTTAATCCTTTGTCTGTGTTATTGTGCAATAACTACTTACGTAAAAAAATTAATTGTCGGGTAGATCTATTATAACCTTGTTGTACGAAGTTCAAGGAAGGTTACAAAATTTAACAGCGAAGGAGACAAAAAGGTTTGTTAACGATATTTCATTAAATATTGACAAATTACTACGGTGGTAGGGCCACGCAGCAGCCTCGGCTGTTGCACGAATGGGGAGACCTCACAAAAGGTTGGAAGTATGACAAATACGTTTCGTCTGGTGAGTGAGGTAGCCGGAGCCCAATTTTCAAAAGGTTGTCAAAAAATTACGAGTGTAGCAGATGTCCATGGGCGGCGGTATTCACTTAACATCAGGTGAACCGTCTGCTCGTTTGACAACTTTTTCGCATAAAAAAAAATACTGAAAGTTTACAAGACCGTAATATTTTTTATTTGGTTTTAAACAGATAATTTTTAACCAAATTATAATTTTAAAGTTTTTTTTTATAGTGCTAATCTTTTTTTACATGTTTTAATGTTTAAATTATAATTGTTGATGGTTAAAACTAAGACCAAGAGGTAGGATTTATTTGTAAGTCATACAAATACTTATCTCGAATCTGTGACCTACGCTTTGAAACTTACCTCTAGCGATCCCTTTTTCCCGGGAAAGGCAACATCTTTCCGAAAACCGTCCGTCCACTGCGGAAATAAGGGTTCAGTTTACACCCCGAGCCTTATTATAATTTACATACTGCTTAATATAACGTTAAAGAACAATTCTTAGTAAATCGTAATTGGCATACATTGCACTGAATTAAATCGAAACAAAAGAAAATTCGTGGTTGTGGAAATCGTGTTCCGTCAGGACAATTTTTGTCGAAGCGTGGACACGGAAGTCTAAAAGAAATCATATTTTAATAACCACTGTACTTTCATTTCGATAAAAGCTATCAATAAAGTTTATTTTAAATAAAAACGTTTAAGATTTTTCCATGTATATCTGCTATATTTTTGACGATGCCCCGGGGTCAGATCCAAGTAAGTAAAGTAACAGCCTATACATGTCCCACTGCTGGGCAAAGGCCTCCTCTTTTACCAGGGCATAAAGGGACTTCACATATCTCCGAAATATCTTTTTTGTCGAAACTAAGCAGGTTTCCTTGCGACGTTTTCCTTCAGCGCTGTGCATGTGTAAAATCAGAAAATTAAATTAACAACTTCATTGGTGCTGGCACCGAGGGTCGAACTCGGGTTGCTCGAGGAAACTGAATTAGTGAACGTCCGGACAATGAGCTATCACGGCTTCGGCAGATGCAAGTACCTTGCAAAAACTTATTCTTCTTCTTCTTCTTAATAATGGCTTGCTTTGTGAGTTATCACAATTCCGCCAATGTCAAGTTGTTAGCCATTACACGTAGGGGAATGACAGTTTTAAAATATAAATTCAGTTATCGGAGGTTACTGCTTTAAGCATGTTTTACCTGAAATAAAAGGACGTCATATACAGGACAACACATGCAGGTACTTTAAAAAATCACGTTCTTTAAAATACAAAATCTAATGTTATAATTTTTATATGATGATATAATGTACCCGTTGTTGGTTGAGATATATATGCTGACAAATATACAAGGTCAAATTACTAAACATAACTCGGTAATAGATCGATTTGAGCAGATGCGAGTACAGATTATATTTTTATATCTAATTTGACAGATATGAACTAAAATTTATTGTCATTGATCAATTTAATATAATTGCATTTTTTATATATTATCTTATTTAAAAGCATAAATTTTTGTGGCTGAAATCCACCAACTTGATCTTTTTAATTTAGAAAATCGACTAGCATAATAAAAATATATCTAAAGACACAATTCATCATGATCGATTCAACCGTTTAGTAGTTACGATCGACCATAGGGATACACAAAAATAAAGCCCAAACACATAGAATAATACAGATATACATACAATAGAAGAATGCAGATAGGTCAAATAGCCTAGCGCCGGACAAACATATGTACACACAGATAGGTCAAATACCCTCCGATGTTGGCTTCGTCGGAACCGGGTAAAAATTATTAAATTCTGAAAAGAAGCTATACGAATTAAGTAATCTAATACCGCCTTACGCTTTTGTTTTATCCACGTATCAATAAGGTCTTTGTCGTCATGTCTGTGGCTACGCTGGAGAAACAAACAACGGACAACGCGATGCCATTGTGTAAATAAAAAAGCCTACCGCCACTTGTTACGTTGCTTTTACAGAACAGCTATTTCTGAATAGCGACCGTCTTAAACATCCGCGTCAACCTCAATATTGTCTTTTGCCCCGTTTCAAACTGCACGATCACTACATAGTATAAAACAAAATCATCCCGCTGTCTGTCTGTCCGTATGTATGCTTAGATCTTTAAAACTACGGATCTTGATGCGATTTTTTTTTACAAGATAGAGTGATTCAAAAGGAAGGTGTATATGTATAATACATTGTACCTTTGCGAAGCCGGGGCCGGTCGCTGTTTTTTTAAGTCAAAAGGCTAGTTCAAAACTGACATCGAATTTGAGTGATTTGTGAATATAAAACTAATAAAAGAAACTAAGCAAAAGAATGGCGTGAATTTTTTCGTGTCTGAGTGTTTATAGGCATAGTACGTATTTATTAACAAAAGAAAATTATGTTTATTAGTAGCCATAGTACCAACAGTTGTTTAGTTTGGGACTAGAGAACGTTGTGTAAAAATGGATCCTAAAATATTTATTTATTTAAATACTTGTAAAAAACGAACATTAATATTTTGTTACATCATCATGTCTGTTATTACTACATACTCGTATATACGATTGACGTCTAATGTTATCGAACTTACCAGGAAGTATATAAAACCTAGCGACGAAAGAAATTGATACAAAGAAAGATGTTTCCATTGACTTTTTAAAACAATGTGACCACAATTAGAGTTTACAAATGTGAGACTGTCTTTCCGGTCCAATTGTACAACAAACGGCATATGTTTAGATTCTAGTTGCGCAGGCTATCAGTAAAAGTTATTATGCTTTAAGACAGACTTTTAGGTTATTCACTTTTAGGCTGACAGTTCAGTCAATAATAAGTAATCGCGTTTAATACACGATAATAGAGGAACATAATTTATTTTGAGTATTTGAGACATTTAAAATTCAAACATTTTGAGTGTTAAGTGATTTTTTTTTAAATCTACTTCTCTTCTCTTACTGTCATTAGTTGTATCTTTTATAAAATAATGTTTATTTTTGTAATTTCGTTGATAAACTCGGGCTTACATTTAAAGATGTTATTACTATTTTCTTTAAAATGTAAACAAGCTTTGTATATTCCCAAATATTTAGATCCGCGTCGAATCTGCATCAAGAGCATTTTTTGTTGGACCGAAATTACTAAAGTGCCTTATTGTTCAGATTCGGCCAACTGATCATTGTTCATTATAATTTTCTAGTTAACTAATACAAGGTTATTTCCAGTCGACGAAAGGCTCAAAGAGCGATCATCATGTGGACAAGGGGAGCAAAGGCTTCAAGAAAGATGAGAACCACCGCAAGGAGTACGAAGAGGCAGCCGGCAAGCGGAGCAAGCACCACGACCGCGCTGGCCACGAGGGTGCCCACGAGGAAGAGGCCCATGGCCACAGAGGCTCCAAATTCGAAGAGAAGAAGGGACACAAGAAAGGGCACAAGACCAAAGGTCAGTATATCTTCCTAGAATTTCCACTTAAGCTGATGTTTTTGCTTTCAGTCCGTAGACTAGTAAAGTTCACCAAACGCAGAATTCATGACCTGGCCAGAAACCATGAGGTTTTTCTTATTTGAGATGGTGGCAAGCGAGGACTTCACGCCGGACTTCTGAGGTGGACTCCGGCTACCTCATCAGATGAAACGCAGAATTATAACCCGGACTTACGCCCTACGTTGGGTTACCCGACGGACCTGCCCATTCGTGCAACAGCTACGACTGTTGGGTGGGCCCTACTACAAATAAACTCTTCATAAACCTCCCCATTGGGTTGGTTGGTATGTGCTCATCATTTTCTTAAGTAGGTGGAATGTCACCTTCGGGCCAAGGTTCGGTACGGACCGTGATCCGTTTGGCCATTGACTGCATTACTCGGTGGCAGGGGGTGGTGAAAATCGCCCTGGAACGAGGTTGTACCTTATGTACGCGTTGTTTCTTTCTAGATGTTCGATTTTTAGCTGGGGGTGTGTTAGGGTTACTTTGTTGTGTCCTTGACTTATGCTGCAATAGATCTGAGCTATCATATATACAACATGCAAGCTACATAAAGCTGTGGCATTCGAAGTATTCTAGTCTCGTGCGCCGCGTAATCGACCTATTTTTATCGAAAATGATAGATTTGATATAAAAGCGTTTAAACAAACACCATAAAACGTCCGATTTTTAATTAATTTGATTACATTAATGACCAAATAGTATGAGAGGTCACCTCAGTCATCGCTGCGCACAGTTGTGGATTCAGCCAAAAAAATTATTTATTCCATAAATAGATGTTCCACGTCTGGTGTGTACTCTGTATTTCATGTTAGTGAGACCAAGATTTTTCTTGAATCGTTTTTTACGAACAAAACCTGATAAAATTTTACAAAGTAAAAAAAGTATAGTCTTTACATCCATACAGATAAATAAAATGGGAGTGTCTGTTTGATATCAAAACTTAATAATATCAAAATAACCGCTTTTTACTAAATGCATATGGTTGTATACACGGTACATGTACCAAAATAACATTTTTTACAATTTTTGGTCCGTCTGTCTGTCTGTTTGTTCAGACTAATTTCTGAAATGGCTGGACCGATTTGAACGGGACTTTCACTGGCATATAGCTGATGTAATAAGGAGTAATTTAGACTACTTTGATTTTAGATTTTTTTTATTTTAAATACCACGCGGACGAAGTCGCGGGCACAGCTAGTAGTATATATAAGTCGAGATTAATGCAGTGGCCTACTATTGGCGTTATTTTGATGACGTAAATTGTAGACGTAGATTTAAATTAATCGAATATTATAACTGCCAATATGTTTTAACTGATGGAAGCATCTGTTGCACGCACGCTGGATCGCGTCCATATTCAAAGATAACTTCTGAGACACGAAACTATACAATAGCTAGTATTGTGATGTCACATTTGTTGATATATAAAGGAAGATAAGCGATGGATCAGTTAAGTAAGGTGCACGTATGACAACCTCAGTTTTTTTTTATGTGAAAAAATGGCAAACGAGCTGGCCGCTCACCTGATGTTAAGTAATAACCGCCGCCAATAGACATCTGCATCACCCGTACGGTTACAAATGCGTTGCGATCTTTAAATACCTGCCCCGGCTACGTCACTCACCAGAAACGCAGAAGTGTAACACTTCTACTTTACGCCAGTCTTCTGTGAGGTCGTAGTAATTACCCGTACGGACCTGCACATTCGTGCAACAGTGAAAAATATTGCGTGGCCTACCACAGTTAAAGTCAGTTTCCTTTTAGTCGTATATCTACTTTTCGAAATTTTCGATGAGTGTACATTTAAGTGTATAGGATATGGGGTTCGCACGATCTTTGGTCCACAATCTTAGGTTCGATAAGTTGAGTTGTCAAAACTGTTTTAAAAAAAAACTCAGTAGTGTAGAAGCCCATCGCACTCCTCGTGTTTCACAACATCGCGAGCCTTGGGTTCGATTTCCAATTGTGTTCAGTAAAAACTATAGATTTTAACAATAGCACCAATGCGCAATAACAATTGTAGACATCCAATCAAACTGCTTAAACGTAACTTCTGAAGAAGGTACAAACTAACATAGCCTTAATCACTTCACGCATCGTATACTAATATGGGGGAAATGAACAGTTGTTTGATCTCACCTTACATCTCTACAGTAACCAGAGTACATTTTTTTACACCTTATATCAGTACAGCAACCATGAACGGAGTATACGCAATGTCTGAATAAATTATTATACAAAATATAATTATAACGTATATGTTGTTTTTTTTTAAAATGGCTCCATGATGATGTTTAGACAAGGCCGATAGTTGATAGGCTGATGTTTAGACAAACTCTTAATTGTAAAGTATCTTTCTTATTTTTCTATTAAAATGTGGAAGTCATGTTATTATTATTACTATTTTAGTTCGTCTAAAGCATAAAACAATTTATCACAAAATGTCTAGCTCTTATTAAGGTATGGTATTCAAATGTACAAACATGAGCTGTAGTTGATTTGTATTGGTTCCTAAGAGATAAATTAATTGGTCTAATGCCTGAATATTGGACAAGTACATAATTTAAACATAGTGCTAGTAATAAAAGGTATTATATCCAAGCACCGGATTTCAAATCTCGTTGATGGCACTGAAAGTAATCGATTACAAACTGCAGATTTACGATATGAGATACCATGATTTATAAGAAACTATGGCTGTAGTGAAAGCCATGGGCGATCAAATACCGACATTACGTCCTAACTTGCAGAAATCGAACTCAGTGGGCATCTCAAGACTGTCTCTCGCAACACAAGTATTCTACTTTAACGAAATATATTTATAATACATTGCGCAAATTCAGCGATCAAAGCGGCGTACATTGGTTAACTCGTTTCATCACCACACTCCCCGCTGGCGGTCAAATAATGAACTGTTAATAAGACTTTCTCACGTTTCGTATGACTTAGAATTTAGCCGAGAAAATGGCCGGTTGCGGTCAAGTCGGGTGAAAGCGAAACAATTCGTTACATAAAGCCTCCAAGTTTCTTGCTCGCATTTCATCGGTGGTCTGACCTCGCCGCTAATTCCAATAAGCGCCACGCTTCGATCTATTTGTTGTCGATTCACAACGGCCCACTGTGGTCGAAACGGGCAAAGAAACTCCGGGCCAACTTTTTAACGTTGCCTACGCATCGGCAACGCACTGTGGCCAAAACAAGCAACTATTCTGAAGAAGGGGTCAATTTTTGTAGTAGTGTCAACGCGTCTGCTACCCGTCAGGTAAAGTTAACGGCACGTGAGCCGCCTGCTGGTTGCCACTTTTTAACTAAAAAACAACTAGGGGACAAATTAAAAAACGTTGTACGGGTGGACGTGTACGTCGACTTAAAGATAACTACACCTTAAACACTAATGTAAGGCCACCATAAAATCCGACTTATTTGGAGAATAATCACGGTGGACGCAAAACAAGGCAGTTAAACTAAAAGTAATTTCACTTGTGTTAAACGTGAGCGGAAAATGATAATTAGTAATCGCCCATTGAACCAGTTCAACATTAAATTTTATAACTTAATATTTATCTCAAAGTCACTCAGTCAATCTGACATGTTAATATTCTTAAGCGACAAAATTTACTCTGTGCAACTATTTGACAACACAATATTAGGTTAGACATTGATAGTATGAATTTAAATATAAACAATGAATGTTTCACTTTATCTTGATTATTTGTAGCACATATGTTTAATATTTACCTTTATGCACTTCTCCGGCATATAAACTGTAACTATGCCAAAGTCAAAGTCAACAATATATCTTTGTTCAATGTAGCATTGTTTTAAGTTCTTTTTTAGTGTCATCAATTACTACCGGTTCGGTAAAAAAAAAACAAAAGAAAAGAAAGGGAAAGAAACTCTGCGGTCTTATATTTTTTAACGATATATACAAAATTACTTACGTGTAATATCAGCTAGAACCGGGGACTTGCAAGTGCAGAGCAAGGGTCATTTCCACAGATCCCGTTGTAATTTTCGAAATTATAATAGGCCCTTTCCTGTTGGAAAAAACTCGAAACGCGTGCACGTAATATTCTTAAAAAGGGATCCAAAAATTTCATATATTAATATATGGATGGATACTTACTCTTTTTTGCTTTAGAAATGGGTATATACTGTTTTCAAGTTCCGAGCTCAAAATTCAGCCCATAACAATAAATAGAAGGCAAAAACATTAAAAGATATAAATAGCTGAAATGAACAAAGGTATTTCTATTATCTTTATAACTCGAATGCCGGCTACACAAAGACAATTTATTTAAACTTTACTAAGCTAGTTTATTTTAACCGGATTACAAAGTGTCTTCGCCCAATACTCGAAAAATGGAAAAAGAACTGGAATTTAGTTAAAAAATAATGTGATGGTTGTCAAATTCGTTTAATTTCAACAGAACAAACAATATTAGAGCAAATAATTAATCTGTGTGTATATTTTTCAGTGTTTTATTTAGCAAAAAGGGACACATTAATAAATTCAGTCACATAAATTAAATTTTTAACTAAGAGATTTCTAACTACAATGTTACATGGTACAATAGTAGAATGGTACATGTTCTTGTTTCGAGCTACAATGCTACATATTTTATGACATATTTTATGTAGTAATATTAAAAAATATGTAAGGGCTAAACTATAATTTAAAATTTATTTCAATAGTTTTGTATTAGTCGTAATTTAAAGTTAAGTTTAAATGTTGTTTTATCTATTATTTTTAATTTAGCTTTTATTTTTTCCTTTGTTTTTCATTTTTCATTTTGTTTGAAGTTATTTTTTTTTATTTCATTGTACAATTATTTATAGTTGAGAGTGTTTTTTGTGCATGTTGTGTTCGCTCATAGAAGGACCTTCACTTGTGTTTTAAGCTCCGTATCAACTTTATCTGTGTCCATTATTCTGTAATGTGAGTGTAATGTTCAGTTTGCGATCCTAAATAAATGAATAAAACTAAGAGACTTGAAGTAAAGTGTGCAAATGAAACAAATCTCAACTAAAACAGACATTAAAAATACACAAAACAAGTTTGCAATAGGAAGTTCTGTCATTATTCCATTGTTCTTTTAATACATAAGCTCATTTGGCGGTTAAAGGTCATTCTATTGTTTCCAAATCACCGAGCGGTTATGAGAAAAATTAAGAATATTTCTGACGGTTTAACAATGTTTTTTAAAAGATTCCGCTGAGATTAGCAAAACGCAATTTTGTATAATGTTTTGTTCGGAACTCGCAGCTTGATAGGATCTGTCACGATGATTGTTCCTAACATTATTGTAGTAAGATCGGACACGCAACCAACGTCTTAAAAATACTAGTTGCTTTGAAACGCGGAAAGAGATTCTGAAGTTATACTTCTTTTGGCGAGTTAGGGAAAAATGATGCGCGCGCACACAGTCACGAAAAACCGATACCCTGAAGTTAGCTAGACATCTACGTATGTTTGCGTGAGAACTGACAACTGTATTCACGATATTTATAACTGACGACTGGGTTTACGATATTAATTTTGTGATATTTAAATAAACTTTATTTAACAAAATAATTCGTTATAATAAAAACCTTTCTATTGTTAGTGTCGTTTTTTCTACAAACGTAGAAAAAGGCGAAAGATAAAATTTTGGAAAAAAAAATTATCTACTTACGCCAAGGAATTATAACTTCTAACGTGTGTACATAAGTACAGACACACTTTTTTTTAAACATAATTTGTGTGGAAAAAAAACGTTTTTAATAGAAAATTAACGTAACATTTCAATCAATTTAACGTCTTGTTAACCATTAAACTATGATAGGCAATCATGACAGTCAATTTGCATTTTATACGTATAAAAAATCGCATTCATCATTATCATTAGGGCTCACGATGCTGTATACACGAGAGCACATCTCATCATGTGAATCGTGTTGTATGTAGTTTTGTCTGGGTTTTTTACGACCGGCCGTTAGCCTGACGTCAACATTCCTTGGAAACAAACACTCGGAACAATGATCTGTTGGCCACACAAATACTTGTCCCGTGTGGGATTCGAATCCACGACCCCTGGTGCCGAAGCCAATAGCTTAGCATCTGAGCCAGCGAGACATCATGCTGTCTATAAAAAAAATATCAATTTAAAGAATAAATAACCGTTTGTGTGTACTTATGTTCGCGCGTAAGAAGCTATACGTATTTATCATAACATAATAAAAATAACTTAATTATACCCTGGGTACTACAAAGAGTAGCTCTTTGTTTATGCAAAAGACATTAAATGATAGCATTTAATAACGGTTTAGTTATAACTTTGAATTATAGGTAAATGTCAAAAGTTTTTATTGGTTGGTTATGAGATGGTGTGCGCACATTGTAAAAATTTTACGGCCTAATTTTATCCAAACTCGCCAAGAGAAGAATGACTCCAAAAGTAATGAGAACAATATATTTTTGACAAGCAGTAACGACGAACTTGACAGGTCCGTCCGTGAGTACCGCCCTCACAAGGGACCGTGAAGTTAAGTGTTACACTTCTGCGTTTCTGGTGAGTTAGGTAGCCGGAACTACTTTATTACAAGTCCATTTTTATTTACGAATAACAAAACCGACTTCAAATATCTCCCTCTCTATTCATTTTATAATTGATTTTTTGGAGTTCCCTGCATATCTTCGGAGCCCAAGATCCAATACGAATGAAATTAATATGGCACCACATGGGAAGCCCCAGCTTTTAAATAAAAAATCATCAAAATCACTCAGTCAGTAAGTTCTGGGGTAACAAACATAAAAGAATACAGTCGAATTGAGAACCTCCTCCTTTTTTGAAGTCGGTTAGAAAGATTGCAATGCATCTGCAACCGGGCGGCGGTTTTCACTTAACTTCAGGGGAACCGCCTGCTCGGCTGCCATCTCACCGCATACATTCGACACGACCGTCGGCGTATCCCGCAGGCTACCACAACAAGTACCACAAGGACGAGTTCCACAAGGAGCACAAGTTCTACGACGACTACCACAAGAGCGGCGAGCACCACCGCTACGGAAAGTTCAACGCGAAGCACGCGAGCGACGAGAGCGGCAAGAAGAAGGCGCACCACGTGAACGCCGGCCACGACTTCGTGGAACGGGGCAAGAAGGGATACAGGTATGGTGAACTAGGAGCCTACTCATACCGCAAATGCTGGCAGCGTAGTTGTGATCAATAAGCGTGTTAGCTCATCACCAATAGCCATGATAGCTCATTGTCTGGTCGCTTTTAATTCAATATACTCGCGCAACCCGGGGCAAGAAGGGATACAGGTATGGTAGTTCTCTTTTAGTAGTCTACCCCAAATTCTGGCAATGCAGTTGTGATCAATGAGCGTGTTAGCTCATCATCAATGGCCGTGATGGCTCATTTTCTGATCGCTTTTAATTCAATATACTCGAGCAACCCGGGGCAAGAAGGGATACAGGTATGGTACTTCTCTTCGAGTAGTCTACCCCAAATTCTGGCAATGCAGTTGTGATCAATTTGCGTGTTAGCTCATCATCAATGGCCGTGATGGCTCATTTTCTGATCGCTTTTAATTCAATATACTCGAGCAACCCGGGGCAAGAAGGGATACAGGTATGGTACTTCTCTTCGAGTAGTCTACCCCAAATTGTGGCAATGCAGTTGTGACCAATAAGCGTGTTAGCTCATCATCAATGGCCGTGATAGCTCATTGTCCGCGCGCTCGCTTTTAATTCAATATACTCTAGCAACCTTAGTTCGAATCCCGGTGCCGACGCCGATAAAATTGTTAATTTTTAGTGCTGACTTATCACGTGCTCAGAGAAGGAAAACAAAGCATGCATTGCATGTTTTTGAAATAACAAAAAAAAATATATCGAAGATATGTGTAGTGCACTAATCCGCAGTGGGGTCGCGTGGTGAACTTTGCCTTAATACCCTCTGTACAAGATATAATAACATAAAACCATAATCAAACAAGAAATATAATAAAAATAAAGTTATCTTTAAAAACTGCCCTAAGCCCGAGTGTACATTTTGACATCAAAGACCGTCGTGTGAACGAACCGTGACAACAACCAACCGTCGTCTTTGAGGCGTGAGCTATTAGAAATGTCAACGTACTTAAGTAAGGAAAATATAGGCAGTAAGAAAGATCAGTAATGCAGTAATAAGCAAATTGTTTTTGACTAATTTTTAAATGTTAACCGCCCCTGACGATTGTGGAAAAATAACATTGTTTTTAGTTAACGTTGAGCCTCAAGGGCTTCTTGCTTATTTACAAAATGTTATTTTTTAATGTGAGAGGTTTGCAAACTAGCTGGCGGTTCAGCTGATGTTAAGTGATAACTGCCACTCGAAATATGCAACACCCGAAGGGTTGCAGATGCGATGCCACCTTTTAATGAATTGGGCCCCGTCTACCTCACTCGCAGGACGAAACGCAGAACAATAACACTTCCACTTCCGCCGGTCTTCTGTGAGTTCGTGGTACCGGCACGTAACTGCCCATTTGTGCAACAGAGAAGACTGTTGCGTGGCCAAAAGGATGGTTACATTTTATGAATTGATCAGAACGATCTTCTTAATGATCAGAATGACATTTGACAGCTGATTAGTTAACTTCTACGATGAGCAGTGTTTCAGAATCCGGGCGTAAATGTTTTGTTACAATAGATGTTGACGCAGATCTGATTTTGAGGGCATGTCTGGCATTTAACTAACATTAAAACGTTCTGCAGCAATAAGGGCCACATCGACGCCGACCACAAAGGGCACAACGGCAAGCGTGGTCACGAGGAGCACCACGAGAACCACTCGCAGCACGGGAGGAAGGGTGGCAAGGAAGGCGGCTCCCACTGGGGCTACGCCAAGAACTAACTTCTGTGTTATCTAGCGTTAATACCGATATAGTCCTTTGTTGTGAGCTCAGCTGTCGGCTCCAAATCGTAGCGGTTACCGGGAAATCGTTTTGTATTCATACCTGATCGATTTTCTTTTTTTTATTATGTCGTAAGAAATACGTGTGTCTGGCCAGAGTCTGAGACGAACGGGTAAATTATTAAGACGTGATCCAAGTTCTACATTCTCTTGAATGCAATTATGTTTAAGCAGTTTTGTTTCCCCTATGATTGGAATGAAATTAAAATAGAAACGTTAATAACCAGTAACAAGATGTCTATTTTTTGTTATTTTGGTACAGAAACATATATGCCAATGGAACGGTTCTTATCTATGTCTAGTTATCTTTATATTATGATTCTGTACCAATACCGAACATTTCTTTATAACACATTAGTTAAACTTTCACAACTCCGTAAGAGATTTTCATTATATTCAGATTCCTTAAATTCATGGTAACGGAATATTTTGTTTCTTCGTTATAATTTGAATTAAATTAAATTTACCTATTTTATAACTATATATCCAGCGCAAGTTATTTGTTATTAAGAGTTTAAGTATAATAAAAAACTGCAATCTTAGGTTTTGATTTGTATAATTTTATAACTTATTGTAAATAAACATGTACCTCTATGATCTTGTATTTTGAACAAAATTCCCTGCGTATATATCCAATTAATTTTTTGCCAACATTATAAAAAATATTCCCCAAAAATTACTGCAATGCTTGTAAAATTATCAGAATAAATAAATCTCTCATAATTATTTTCTAATTTATGGTTATGGCATCATCCTAACGATGTACAAAAATTATATTTGGCCGTTTAAAGAATAATAAGTTATTATTAATTCTAGATGTTTACGTTTTGTTTTCTTCGGCAACAAAGATATAATGTTTTCGTTCCAAAACTGACTTTTTCTTCCTTGGAATTGTTTATTTGCTAAAAAATTATGACAGGTGCGGTAGTTGCGAACAAATGATATTAAACTAAAACCAAAACTGAAAAAAGAATTATGAGAGAGAGTATGATACTATGTGCGAAATATTTTTAGGAATAAAAATCGGTAACGGTTTTCGTCGATGTTTTCTATATATATAAAAATTTCGTGTCACGTTGGTTGTCCGCGATTAACTCCTAAACTACTGAACCTATTTTAAACAAATTTTGCACACTGTGTGCAATTTGGTCCGTCATCATTGATATCTCTTAAAGATAGGTTAGTTTATATCTCAATTTATAGTCGCAATATTTTTTTATTGTAAATTATTTGTTTGTTATAATTATTACAAAGAGTTATAATTATCTGTGAGTTTCATAAGATTCTAACAGATGGCGGTGTAATTTATGGGACAGATTGAGTAAGTATTCAATAGATGGCATAGTGCCATAGTGCCATCCATTAAATACTTAATGTAATAGACCCGGCTTTACTACAAGATAATTTAACGTATACCTTAGTCAAATCACAAAACCCTCCTTCTAAAGCTTGATTATTATGGCATTCGTGACATCGCCCTCAATCTCATTGCTTCTTACCTTAATAATAGAATTCAAAAAGTATCTATAAATGATGTAAATTCCGCAGGGTCCCCCATGAAAATGGGTGTCCCCCAAGGATTTTCGTCGATATATTGATTCTTATATATATACTGTAAAATAATGTTCGTGTCACGCTTATTTTGGTTGTCCGACGACGTGAATGGTGCACGTATCCTCCACTGGTTTACCATTAATTATATGGTGTTAAATGCTAAAAAAACTAAATGCCTTCTTTTTGCCCTTCCCAACGTAAGAAGGCAAAGTTTTAGCTTAAAATTGAATAGCGTAACCCTTAATCCTGTTGAGTCCGCTGTATTCTTGGGAATCACAGTAATTTTGCATCATCTCTTGCGAATGTCCGCTGTTTTTGCAATTAGGAAGGTTAGGGCTATCAGACGTCACCTCATTGTTTACTCTCTTAAAGATATTTTGTTGTGGGGTAGTGCATTGATATCTCATTTATTTTCAAAAAAGTCGCAATTTATTCGGAGCCCGGAATACACTTTTTTTTGCAAATTACTGTTGCGTCTCAATATATTTTTGTTATAATTATGTTAAACAAAGAGTTAATAATTATGAAAAGAATAGTGTGACATAAACTATTATTTTATTATTATTAAAGAAACGCGTGTTCGGGTCCACTACTTATATCATAGATCTATAACTACCTATTTCGCCCTAGACACGTATGAGCAATTCTACAAATAATATCATTGGCATAAAAAATATTGCCCGATGTCCAACGTCCATTCGTGGTATGCGTTCAGAACGTTCGACAAACGACAAAAAGACGTTCTATCATTGAATCAACAACGCCATCTCAATTAAATATTATGGGAATATTCCATCATATTCTTCCAACCTATCCAAACATTTTACATTTAAATTTTTTTTTAACCACTTAATTGTATATAATTTTTATTATGCAAAGATGGGATCGTCACAATCATGTACAAAAATCTCGAAATAAAAAAAATTTAATAAACAGTAATTATTCCTCCCGTTGTTAACTTACAAAAAAATGTAAATTGTTGTAACTTATTAAATGGCTAAATATTTTTGTAAATTGTATTTTGTAATGTGATTATTGTATGCTGTAAAGTTACCGAATAAAACAAAAAATAAAAAAAAATATTTCTAATATAAACCAGATTGTGTGGAAGAAGAAGCAGAAAAACAGAGTGATTTATTCTACAAGACTGGCGGTTTACATGGCTCCTCCTTCTGTTTGGAAGGTTCAAAGAACTTCGAGTAGACGGAGACTGCAGTGTGGGGTCGACGCGGGAAGAACACCTGGTGGCCAGTTCTGTCGACGTATTCGTCGTACTTCATCGACCACTCCAGCTTCATGCCGCATTTCGAGCAAGTTTTCGAACTGAAAGGAAAAATATACCCCCTATAGTAACAATTTGTGCACGAACAACCCTCGCCAGACATTGTTAGTAATTGTGTAATAAGATAGGTGCAAAACTAAATCAGGTATACTGTTGAATAATACATCGAAGATCTAGATGTGTGGTAATAATTCATGTCCTGCAAATGTCAAGTCCAAAAAACGAAAGATTTTAATTAAAAGACTTTCTGGCCCATTCTCCAATTGGATGGTTTGGAGAATACTAACGGTACCATGACATTCATTAGTATGTCAAGTTAAAAAAATGAATAAAACATTTTGACCCTGACTTGGACTATCACGTTAAGTTGACTGGTTACACAGGTACAGATAAATAGTGCACCAGTTATAGATAATTACTTTTAAACCAAATATTGTCACAACCACTTTTTTTATGTGAAATGTTGCCAAACGAGCAGACGGCTCACCTGAGGGTAAGTAATACCGCCACCCATGGACATCTGCTACACCCGGGTTACAGATGGCGTTGACAACCTTTTGAAAATTGGGCTCCGGCTACCTCACTCACCAACGAAACGCGAAAGTATTTGTCATATTTCCACTTTACGCTGGTCTTCTGTGAGGTCGTGGTACTTACCCGGATGGGCCTGCCCATTCGTGCAACAGCCGAGGCTGCTGCGTGGCCCTGCCACCGTTAAATAAAAAAAAACTCTTGTAACAGCATAAAAGTACCTATACTTATGCTTATGTAGAGACTTCGAAATAAAATGTTATACGTCTGGGAGCCTAGAACACGTTTTACTATGTCGATAATATTACAATGAGCAATATCATTAAATATTATGTAGTCATTACATCTATATTCATAGCATAATAAATAAACACTAAAAAATCTTAAGACATCGTATGCTTTTCGGCGGAGATTCAGCTTTTCACTGCAGCGCGTAACTATGGGTTAAGGGCGCGAAAATAATACGTACTTATTTTACTTACGCGTAATGATTGACTGCTATGACTTGTGCCACAGTATAGCCTAAATCTTCACCATGCTTCAGAGCTGCCTCCAGGAGAAGTTTACCAATACCTCGACCAGCTAATTCTGCGTCAGTTCCGAGGACTTCAATCTGCACAGACCAGGTTGTGATCGTAATAACGAAATTTTCTTAACAGCTCGCAGCAATAACAACAAACAGATTCCATTCTTCTAAAGACACATTAGATTAACGAAGCATACTCTTGGATACGTTATAGCTTGGATTTGTATGATATACAAGCGAAATTCGACTTACGAATGTATTAATTACATTAATCATATGAAATCGATATTATAACCACACCAGAATTTTTTGTAGGTGCAGTAAATGATCACTTACGACATTCGAAATTTTCAAGTGAGATTTTCAATAGAAACCAAGTGAGAACACGAAGCGTTACCGCCACCAACAGTCCAATCAATGCTCACGTCGTAAATGAATTCGGCGTTGTATTTCTTGAATAGGTCAGCGCACTTCAAGCAGTAAGCCATGAAGTACATCCTGGTGCGATCCGGCGTGGCGTACGTGGCCTGCGCCCACTCTTCGAGCTCGTCAATCATCCACGGGAACACCTTGTAGGCGACGCTGATCCCGACTACTCTGGACTCTCGGGTGCGGTCGATCGCTTCGAAGGCGAGGAACCGGTCACCTGGATAAAACAGCAATGGCAATTTCTTAGTAGCACTAAGCCAGTACCCATTTTACCCCTAGGCAGTACCCATTTAGCTGTACACTAATAGGTGTACTAAGAGAGTACAAAGGCAGAACAAATTGACGTAGTGCTCGTATAAAACGGTTGTAGTAGTAATATGAACAACATTAGGACAAATTGTAATATTTATTTAGAGATCTTTTTGATTTCATTGCACGGAACAAAGTGGAACTGTGTGTGAACAAAATTATATACGAATACTAGCTGGCCCGCGCAACTTTTAGCATAGCGCCATCTATCGGATACTTACTCAATCCATCCGATAAATTTATCTTACACCGCCATCTGTTAAAATTTTATGGGACTCACAGATAGCTCTTTGCTATCTAATAAACAAATAATTTGCAATAACAAATATTGAAATCAATAATTGAGATAAAAATCCTATCAACCAAGTTGGACCAAATTACAAATGCTTACAAAATTTGATAAAAATTGGTTCAGTAGTTTCGGAGTTTATCGCGAACATACATCGTGACGCGAAATTTTTATATAATATATAGATAACACCGCACCATTTTCAAGAGTCAATTGTAACCGAAGCTATCTTACAGGCAATACTAGTCTTACATTTAAATAAATAATCTTATGATGAGAATTACCCGAATTTGAGTATTTGTCGGTGAGTATATCCAGGTATGGGCTGTCGGAGGACATCCACAGACTCACAACGCTGGGCTCCCGAGGCCAGTAGTGGGTGTACAGGAACAAGCGGATCATGTTCGAGTGGCATTGGTTACCTCTTTCCACTACCACCTTATTAATATCAAAGCACTGCGAAAAAATGATTATCTCAATTTCGGTGCGCTATTGTCGTATTTGTATTCCACGTAAACGTAATATCATTGCAAGGACATTACATGGTTTATTTGGACGAGAGAATTTAAAAACATGCACGAAACACTTTGCTAACATCGGCTCTGGTAGGAATCTAAATAGCATAAAATTTTCGTATCACATATAGTGAGATAGCCCACTATAGACTTTACTTTCATGTGAATGATATTTAAAATATTAGGAATATTAGTATAGATGTTACCTCTTTCTTAAATGGCGGATACGGTGTGACGTCACAAGGTGATCGAGTCATCACGGATCTCATGATATACGTGGTTGGCTGCCGACCCCATTTCACCAAAGCCTGGGCACATCGACAAGCGTTGAGATAATACATTATCAGCAAATTTTTGAAGGCCTATTATGGATTCATATTTTTATTATATGTTTTTGTACTTTATTTAGAAAAACATTGAGACCGAAATGAAATCTGTCATAATCGAGAAAGTAATAACTGATAGAAGACAGAAGATAAAATATTGTTTGGAAGTTAGGAAATATACAGTAATTTTTTAACTTTGCTTGCAACTTTTTTGCTTGAAACGTTTTTTGGTTTTTTAATTTTATCGATTTGATTTTTCTACAATTCGATTCTACAAGCTCGATTTGATTTTTCTACAATCTAATTAAATTTATAATACACTGGCCGTTGATTTATTCAAAAAAGAGACAAATGCAAACCGGCACTTGGATAAAATAAATTAATACAATATTGATTTGTCAAGTGAATAGCAAAGATGGCAGGTCTAAATTTTTTCCTGTTATCTACATAATATAAAAAATACAAGGCCTATAAAATGGTCTCCAGCAACAAATCGCAAAAAATCGCAGCAATGAAACAATTTTCCTAACATTTCTGTAAATATACACGATTGCCCCGTATCGCCCACAATGATTCGCCAAATAACCGTCTGGATTGCAGGAACCTCCCTCAAAAAAACGAATTTAAACATAATTAATGTAACCAGAAGAGGTTTCGCCGACATCCCGAAGAAAGACACTTCTTCTCATGTTATGGTAAGCATCAATGATGTTTTATAATATAGACTAGGCGACCCGGCCCGGCTTCGCACGGGTGCAATGTATTAGACATACAAACCTTCCTCTTGGATCACTCTATCTAGTAAAAAACGATATTAAGATCCGTTGCGTAGTTTTAAAGATCTAAACATACTTGTACGTAGGGACAGACAGACGGTGGGACGACTTTGTTTACACTATATAGTGATGAGTGATGACGCATGTCCATACTGCGTGGCGTGTAAAGATGCGTAGTTGTGTGCACAAATCTTTATTTTACGTCTCCCCAAAATTTATATTTTTCAAACAGCTCATTATTATTCTGACGCCTGGTTTCTGAATCACTGATCATCGTAGATGTCAACTTATCAGCCGTCAAATGGCTTTTCAAATTTCATTTTAGTTGCCAAAAGGATGGTTAAACTCTCTGAATTGACCAGAACGATCTTCTTAATGATCAGAATGATCAATTAAAAGTTTTTAAGCATCCTTTTGGCAACTCAAATGACATTTGAGAAGCCATTTGACAGCTGATTAGTTGACATCGACGATGATCAGTGATTCGGAAACCGGGCGTTAAGGTGCGAATTCCTTGCTGTTCACAAGTTAAGATAAGACTATTGGGACCCTGGGCAGTCTGTAGCGCACTTCCGCGCCCCATCCAGGTCCGGACCACGGATAAGGATGAGCAGATGCGCGTGCGCCGCGCCCGTGCCGCCGACGTGCCGAGGGTGCTCAAGTTCGTCCGCGAGCACACGCGCGACATGTGGCCGGCGCTCACCATCCCGTCAAACGCTTCCCAACTGGTCCTCTCCGACTACGTGTCGAGGGCGCTGGCGCAAGGTTGGTGGGCTTTATTTTTATCGACCGACTTCAAAAAGGAGGCTCTCGATTCGACTGTATTTTCTTATGATATGTTTGTCATCTTTTTTTTTATGCGAAAAGTTGTCAAACGAGCAGACGGTTCAGCTGATGTTAAGTGAATACCGCCGCCCATGGGCATCTGCCACACCCGAGGGTTACAGATGTCCAGTCCAGTCCTCAGAACTCTCAAGTGAGTCAACCGATTTAGGTGGTTCTTTTTCTATTCGAATGCTGGCGCTTCGCGTGTGGTCCCATAATATCATTGGTATTGGATCTTCGGCTCCAGAGATACTTGAGGAACTCCTGAAAATCAATCATGGAATGAATACAGAGCGTGATATTTGAAGTAGGTTTTGTATTTCGTTAATATGGAAATGGACTTGTCTAAGAAGATGTAAGACAGTTGATTTACCTGATGTTTAGTTATAACCGCCCGTGGGCATTGCAACGCCCTTAAGGTTGCGGGTGTTTTTTGGTGTGTGAAAAAGTGGCAAACGAGCTTGCAGTCCACCTGATGTTAAGTGATAACGGCCGCCCATTGACATTTGCAATGCCCGTAGGTTTGAAAATGCGTCGCCTTATAATAAATTGGACCATGTATTTCACTTAACGGACGAAATGCAGAAGTACAACAGTTCCACTTCACGCCGGTCTCCGGTGAGGTAGTGGTACTAACCTTTTGTACTCAAAAAATTAAAACGATAAAACCTTTATTTGCGATTGCAAAAAAATCAACACAGTGCAAAGAAGTCTATGGTAAATAATTAGAGATTACAGTTAATTGATATTTACAATACTGACAAGGGTAGTTTTAAAAGGAGTATATTAAAACTGCTGGAAGAGAAGGACACACACGCACAAACACACATTTGCGCACTAGTACACACTAGTATAATGTCATACATTTGTTTTTATTTAAGTTGCAATAATATATTTATATTTATTAGTATGTGCTTGCTCTTAAATATTTTCCGTGTTCTGTAATAATGTAAATCTATTTTTTTAACGCAGACTTTATTTAAAAAAAAAACATAAAACAATGCTAACCCGTGCTGGTAACGAAATCATTATAACCGCGACGAACACCCCAACTCGCAGGACACTCGATGATCGCCGAACGCCAAGAGTCGAAGCACAACTGGTCGAAAATCAAAGCGCTGGCTCTAAGCACCACCACCTGCAAGTGGGACGCCAGCGTGCTGGAGAAGTGGGCGCGCTGCGTCCAGTGCTCCAGGTCACGGCAGGCGCTGATGTTCACCGCCCACTGTCTCCGTGCACCAGCCCTCCACGATAAGTACCACGTGCACAGCATCCTACAGGTGAGATGTCCTAATTTTGGCAGAAGGCAGCCTCGTACTGCCCATCGCAGTGTAGGACCCCCCACTAGATGGAGTGACGACCTGTGCAAGTGTGCGGGAAGTCGATGGATGCAGGTGGTTCTTGATCGTGCTTCATGGCAATCTATGGGGGAGTCTATGTTCAGCAGTGGACTCAAACTGGGTGAAATTATGATGATGATGACTCAAAGTTAAAGTCAAAATATCGTCATTCGCTATAGCCTTAATTTAAGCTCTTATTGAACATCAAAAAACTGCCTGTTATTGCATTGGTTAAGTACTTGTGTTTAAAAGATTGCATGCTATTACCAATTCAATTTAACAATTGGACATTAACTAAATCTGTTGCAAGTATAGAAATTGTTTTTTTTTTTCACTAGAATACCAAAAAATTTACTCTTTCAGTTGTTATTTCGTTTACACATTGGGATGGCGCATTCTTACCACCGGTTTCTTATCTACAGATTGAATTGGTTACTAGCGATAGGTATTCGACATTAGCTCCATAATTCTCTAGTCAAAATTCTAGCTTTTTACGTAGCTAAGGACGTGTCGGGCGATGTTCAGAACGGAGATCCTGTCACCCCACGTTGGAGTGGTTGGTGACCGCCTTGTGGGTTCAGGTCGGTGAGAGTCTCACATAAACTGGCTTTCCGTACTCGAGGGCGTATTAGAAATTCAAAACAACTGCAAGGTTGCTTAGTGTAATACTATAGGCGAATCGATAGGCGCGGGGAGTTGTGATACTGCCTCCTGCGTCAGGGGGTGTGGGTTCCCCACTACTGGAAAGATATTGCGTGAAGAAAGTGTTTTTTTTTTTTGTAGTTTATATATGTATAATACTTTGTTTTATACCATGTGGTGATTTAGCAAATTTTGTCTGTGCCGACGCGTTGACGTGGCCGCTAGGTGATCCTGATCGTGCCAGAAGACGTGTCGAAGCAGACGGAATTGGTGAACATGCTGGTCAAGAGCGCCATCCAGCGAGGGCGAGACGTCGGCTTCTCCCTCGTGCGCTTCGACGCCGCAAACGAGGCAGTGTCAGTACACCATTGACTCGATAATTTAGTTCCTCCCCGTGGCGCGGTTGCCGAGGTACCGGCTTCGGCTACGACGGCCGTGGGTTTGATTCACACGGGACGACTGTTTGTGTGAGCCGCAGATCGTTTCGGATCTGGGTGGTTGTCCACGTGAAAGTTGTGTATGCAATGCAGTAAAATGATATCCCAGAGTACAGGAGCAATGTTTTCGAAAGGGAATATTACAATAGATCTTCTAGGTCGCAGTGATCGTTTGGATTTGCTACCCAATACCCTCCATGCATAATACAAAAAAATACAAAACCATTGACACGATATTTTTCATCCCGAACTGTATGAAGATCCATACTATGTCGTTGTTAGCGACTTAGTACAATTTCAACTCGTGGGCTCAGCGTTTGCTTTGCTAACCACCCATTCTAAATTGGAAGTACACGTATATAAATGTATATAAATGGGCAAATACGAATACCCTTTCCTTTTGTTCGTCATCTGATATTTTCTGTTGACCAGCTTCTTTTCTATAAAAAAGTTGCCAATAAAGCAGGCGTTTCACCTGATCTTAAGTGAGTACCACTGCCCATGGACACCTACAACACCTAAGGGCTATTAGTTGCTTTGAAACAATTGAAATCCAGTTTTGACCTGACCAAACGCGACACTTTAATCATTCCAATTCACGCTGGTCTCCTGTGAGGCCGTGGTACTTCCCCGTGGTTTTTATTGATGTGATTATTAAAAAAATAAAATATTTAAAAATGTTCAATATCGTAGTGGTAGGATTTCGACCAGTTGGCGTACAGTAATAGATATGTCATAATTAGATAACTCCGTGGCGCAATTGCCAAGGTATTGGCTTCGGCGTCGGGGGTCCTGGGTTCGATTCCCACACGGGGAAACTATTTTTGCGACCCACAGATAGCTGTTTCGCATCTGGGCGTTTGTCCGCGTGAAATTTATGTTTGTAAAAGGTCCGTACAACGCAGGGCAATGTTATCCTAAAGTAAGGGCAACTTTTATTATGCTTCCTATTTGTACTACGTACATTAACAGCAGCTTTTGAAAATGATGCAAAGAGCATCCATTTGCTACATGAAAGTTCATTTTCACGTCTCCAGCATAAAGGCGCTGGAGCAAATGAAGATGAACAAGGAGTGGCAGATCGCCTACGACGTCCTACCCGACTGCATAAAGGAGAGAGAGAAGCCAAAAGACATGAAGTACTGCATCACCACAGTGGACGCGGAGGAGGCGAACAAATACAAAGAAATCCAATTCGGGCCGGGGCATTCGCTCTCAGTGTACTCCACTTTCACCGACACCAAGAATTAGGTTCTGCAAATGATACTATATCAATCAAAACCGAAATTTTAAAAGTAAACGTTTAAAGAAACTCATTGTTTTCTTTCGCCTATCAATTAGTACTGTATTTAACATATATGCATAATATACATTACATAGCTTGTAAATATTAGCGCTTTCCTTGTTGGATATCTCTCTGTGCACCTACCTAATTTTCTCTGTACCACCCCAAGGTTGACTAGGAGATAATGCTTTTAGCATTAAATCCGCCATTGTACTATTTGTGCATAAAGGGTAAATAAATAAATAAATAAATAAATAAATTAGTGCTGAATCTCTGCAATATGTATTCGTATCGGCCAAAGTTTGTTTCGATTTACATGGATGAGTAACGGATATTAAATGGAGGGAATTTTTGTCTTTTTCCTCAAATTTCCCTGATCAACTGTGATCGGGGAACATTATCGAACATCTGACAGTCGGATAAAAATAAAAACTGTTAAATAAAAATACTTTTAAGAGTTTTCTCGAGCTAAATTTCCGTACACGTTGAAGAATGAAAACTGAAATGGAGCTATGTGTAGCATACCCTATACCTAACCTAACCTAACTGATTATCTAAACATTAGCGCGCATAATAATGTCAAATCGGGAACTGAACTCGACTGAACACAATTCGTCGAATTCTCAAATCGCGTCTGCTCGTGTTCGTAACGATCTTCAATAACGCCAGGCACGGCATGACGGATTACTGTCTTGGCTCTTTTCGAAGCAGCCGAGTTGAAGGTCGTGATTTTTCATCAGCCGGAATTACAATTGGGGCCGGGCTCTATTGAAAACTCCCAAACTAATAATCAGTTGCTAAATCAATCCACAGATGTTGCGGAATAAATCTTGATGTTTCTAAATGTATTGTGATTGGATTTCACACGGAATCAATTTAACCACTTCTCCCTGCAAATGTTCATGGCTGCGGTTCTTAGATATGGATGTAGACAATGATGTAGGCGGAGACGTCAATCCAAATAAGATATACAACTTAAATTTATATTATATCTGTCTTACGAACATAGTTATCTCAAAAACATAACTTCTGTAAAAGAAATGTAACACTGATGAAGGTTTCTTGTCGATAATCGAAACAAATATTGTGAAATTATTTTAATTGCTAATCAAGATCGTACTAAACCAGCAATAATTATTATGGAGAAATTCACAATAAAACGATTCCATCCGGTGTGGAAAGAAATAGAAAACAGTAAACCGAAAGTGCGACCAATCTCTAGCCTTGAACTTATAGACGTTGGAGTAAATTTAAACGAATCGCTTACTATTGGACACGTCACAGATCATCGAACCGCAATAGGAACTGTGGGAAATGGTTTCACCGATTGTTCGAGAAGAAACGAGGTCTATCGGGCGGTCTTTAAACAGTCTACGTAAGGTGCAATCGAGCGAATTTTCCCCAAACGGAGTACGGTGCGAATCGGTATTGCGACAGATGCTGCCGGCGCTGGTTATATAAAATAAACGATTTGTTTTGCGCCCAGATTGAATTGTGCCGCGCCTTACAGGTGTACTGTTTTTGTCAACGTTAATTTTAAAGGTAGAAAAACAAATTGGAACGCGGTCGTTTACATTCTCATCATTCAATAAGCGGGTTCTGTTTGTATAAAAAATGGACGGAAAGTTTTTCGCCGCTGCGGGATTCGAACCCACGTCTTCTGGATTCGCGAAGACGCTTTAGTCACTAAGCTGACTAACTCATTGGCACATCAACGAAAATCTTAACGTACTTAACTACATTGTTGAAGCTGAAGTTGAACTACTTGTACAAGCGGGTATTGATCTAAATTCCAATGAGATATTATTGTGCTGTAGACGTATCTAACTTACTTTTACAACGAAACTAAGGCAAGGATTACTGTGTGCATAATTCTGTGGTACAACATTTATTGTACTAGTAGCTACAATCAGAGAATCGGAGTACATTTTTATTCTAGTTTATTAGTTAAAGGTTATTTTTCAATTCAAATTACGATATTACATTATGATTACTTGTGTTTGCGCTAATGGTGCACATTGTGAAATAAAATTAATTTACGGTTTATTTCACGTTACCATGGTTTTCTTTCCCGTTGTTTCGACAACTTTACAGAGTGCAGTGAAATACCTGCTAATTTATTTTTATTATTATTTAAAAATCCGTAACTACCATTATTTTTATATTAAGGCTTTTTGAATAATAAGCATGGGCATACGATTTTAAAATAATCTTACATTGTATTGTATAATTAATTTTTAAACTGTGTTTTTTTTTTAATTTCATTGTTCGAACAAATGTCGTTGCAGGTCACACGAGTATGAGGCTATATTTGATAGCTCTAGGATGTCTTCATCTTTCGACCGCCTTGCCAGCGACCAGGCTGGAGGACCTGGAGATGGCTGATGACACAATGTCGGTGGGATCCTACATTCGTGAAGTGCGCGCAGCTGCGGTGAGTACGAAGGAAATTTGCACGCAAGGACTACGCAACTTGCTCTAAAAATAAAAGTCATTATCTTTGCAACCGATTAGGTTTTGATTAGATAGAAACAGTTATTGATTCCGCATTACAAGTAACATTTTGTTTTTGCGCAACTTTATACAAGTTGGGCAAAGACAAGCAACCAGATCCGGGATATTGCACAGACTAACAGCTTCTTGCGCTTACATTGTTATGAGGTTATGTGAAAAAATTGTAAATACAAAAGTTGTAGATCTTTTTATTACCTACAACTTTGCCATTTAACTTTTTTCCATAGGACTTGTAGTTTTGCCGGAAATCGAGATAAACCATATTTACCCCTTAAAAACTCACCCCCTCCCACTTCCTGAACTCAGATTGCCCGTAATTTATTTTTCCTTTCATTTTTATCCTATTTCCCTCCTTTTCTAATGGGTTTCATACTACTGTATTTTTTTTTCACTTTTTACCATCTTTGAAGGCTTCAGCCCTGGTTTACTAATTTAGTTGTTAATACTTTATGTTTTGTTTTATTTTTATTAATCATAATAATCGTATTATATGAAGTACATACCCAAGTATAAGCATTAAGTGATATACTGTATAATTAAAAAACAATATTTTTGCTAATTAAGAAGTTTTTGGTGTAATAGTTAATCATTACGCCAAGAAACTGCAAGTTCTACAAGTTCACGATTGCAGTCACGTCACAACTTTATAAGAAGAAAAAATTCAGTCTTAAAATTGGCTGTTATTACACGGTAAAACTTAAATAGTTGAATATGTCTTTTGTAACATAGCTGATGGTACATTGATTCCGTCTCCAATGCACATCCGCTACCAACCTTTAGACAGACAGTTGACCATGCCTGCATGAACACTCGCCGGTCCTCCAAAGTGACGAACATACCACGTATTATCGCGTGGCCACTCGCTAAACAACGAAATAGCTGGTAACTAACATTATTCTGTCTAACCAATTACAGCCGGACGATTACCACAAGTCGTACGAGAACGAGGGGGACGGCGAGATCGGGTATGCCCGTAAAAAGTCGGGCGGCGGGAAGAAGGGCTACCAGCACTTCGACTCGTACCACAAAAAGGCCGGCGACAACTACGAATTCGAGAAGCAGGACTCTTACGGCCACGACGACGAAGAGCAGGACCGCGCTCACAGTCACCGTCACGAAAAAGGTGAACTCAGAGCGCGCCCCCCAATTAGGCGGCCATTGAAATTTGTGAAACGACTCCTGAGATGGTTGTTTTGAAAAATGTCCTAATAATAACTATCAAAGATACTTGTTAGATTTTAGTTTTATTTATATTGAAAGAATGACTTACTCTTGGAGACACTTGAAACATAAAACTTTCTTGACTACTAGATGATTTTTCACAGAACTGAAAAAACCTTGTAATTACATAATATTGGTATTGTTAATATCTTTATTTAATACCTATTTAAATAAAAAACAGTACAACCGTAAATTGTATGCAAGTCATATCACAGAACTGAAAAAACCTTGTAATTACATAATATTGGTATTGTTAATATCTTTATTTAATACCTATTTAAAATAAAGTACTAACCGTAAACTGATATTTTATTTAGTGCTCCGTAAAATTTGTATGTATTAAAATTATTTATTTGCCTTTCAGCTGAAAAATATCGTGACCGGGCGCCGGAAAATGAAGAAGAGGAAGAACCAATAGAAGAAGACAAGGAAAAGCAACACGAAGAACTAAGGTGAGAAAATATATACTTAAAAAGTTATACTATACAGTAGTAATACCAGGCTATAATTATATAAGTATAATTATATAAGTATATTTTTAAGGTAGTGTAATTTTTTAAATCTCAATTATTTAAAATTTTAGATTAGGGGGCAGTGACGGCAATGGCGGTGTAGAAGCGTACGGGCACAACCCAGCTGATTACAAGCTGCCTGAGAAGTATACTTATGGAACTGGAGAAGAATACGACTTCTAAAACATAAACTTATATTAGTCGTGCAAAATAGAAATGTAGAAAAGTAGACTGAAAATAGACTTTAGTTAAGTTTTTTTTTATATTTTTCAATGTGTTTATATTTGTATTGGTGAATATGTATAAATTGTTCTGGAGTGCTTAATATTTTGATGTAGCTTTGATACAAAACACAGAAAATGATGTTGTGTTACCATATAATTATAAGATTTTGAGAAAATTTGTATTTTAAAATAAAGAATCATGGAAGTATTTTCATTTAATTCATCTTCTATTTAAAAATTTTAGAGAAAATAATGTATCAATTTTCAGAATACAAATACATTGAGAGTACAATAAAATTTAAAATTATAAGCAGGTTGTTTGTGACTTTCGACTGTAGCACAGAAAAAAACACGTAGTTAGTATTTGAAGTTGACAGTGACATTTGTTTTGCTAGCGCTATCAAATCGGTGATCATTCCCGGTAAATAGAAAAAAAGACAAAGAATTATTTTCAACTTGTGATGTGAAAACGATAAGCTGCATAGAAAATGGCGTTGAAATTAAATACTGTCATAATAATATTAAACTTAGTATGCGTTTACACGGGTAAGTATAGCACAATTATCTAATTGAATCAATCAATCCCTGCATTACAGAGTATTCTTTTTAACAGAGCATATCCTGTCCTGCAACGTGACCTCGATCGAACCGTGTCCGGGTGATTATCAGTTCTGTAACGAGACGTCGCAGAAATGTGAATGTATGGAAGGCTACTATCAAGTTGGTGATGAGTGCCAAACTCCCAGCGCGTATATGTCAAGTCACGACGTGACTGCAGTTGTCGTGAGTATCTTCGCCGTCGCTCTAATCGTTTGTGGTCTCGTATTGGTGATTAGGAAATACAATCTAATTGAATACGCACGTCAGAAGATCAACTCCAGGCGCAACAATGATGTTATGTATGAAGACGTAATGATTGGCCAAGATGATCCTCCCCTGAGCCCTTAATTGAAGTGATGCTTATTTATTTACCGTTATAAAATTTTAGGATGTTAAAACATGCAAAGGTATATAGTTAAAATATTAATCAAGTGTTAAATGAAGTAATCTTTGTTATAATTTTTATTCTGTATTTATTTATTTACTACTATTTTGATCATTTATAAGTCAGTAGGTATAATTTGTATATTGTGATGTTTATAATAAATTAATTTCCGCTAGCTGTTTGGTATATATGATTTGGGTGTATTCTACAATTTTATTTGAAATTTTTTACTGTTAAGCTACCAATCTATAAGCAGAGACGGGAAAATCATTCCAATCAATATACAACACTTGAAATTGAAATCTAAATACAAAACAAAAAACTCTTTTCTTTCTAACTGTATTCATAGATAGTGCAAAAGCAGACAAGTTTACAAGATGTGATTATTTAAAGTAATATTTGGAGGTAAGTCAGACTAAACAACAATGATAAACTGAGAATATAAAATTGTTGTCATGGAGTAGATTGAATGATAGGACACTTACTAAGAAGTCTAGATTATTGTATTATTGAATACTGAAACTGTGTTAATCAATTCCACTTTAACATCTACCACTACACTACATATTGCTTCTATTGCTATCTAGACAAGCCATAAAATACGCAAGATATATTGATTTGAGTAAATATGCAAGATATATTGATTTGAGCTCAATTGAATGTATATTTTGAATATGTATGTTATTAATTACTGTGTCTTTTTTATTCCGAACACTTAAAGTTATGTTTACATTATTTGTCCAATATGGTGCCTGCACCATAAATTTGAAAATAATGGATATAAATTTTCCATCGGGAAAAAGTTGCATTGGTTAATTCAATGACATTGATATTCAGGGTTCAAATTATTAAGCTCTTTATCAATTTAAGAAATTCAGTTATTAACAACTTATATAAAACACCAAAATACAACAAATTTGGTGCTGATAAAGAGCTTATTGATGTCTATAAGAGAGTCCTAATTGATTCCAATTTAATCAGACATTAAATTGTTGAGAGTTAAATCCCATGCCTTTACATATTTTGTGTTAACACTTTTATATCATACACGCATCCCTTTATGAATAAATGTATCATAAATATCATTTGAATAAACTCCATCAATTATGAAAAATAATATAATAAAAATATGTAAATAAATTTTCTTTCTTAGGACATAGCATTATTGTTTTGTTTTCTTGCTTGTGCTCAATTTAGCCAAAGACTGAATGTTTGTAATGGATTTTATACATATAATTTGTGTTTGAATTGCTTGTATCCACTGTTCATTTTGTCTGATGTTATTTATCATTTATAAAATAAATAATGTCCTAAAAGATGACTTCAGTCAGCACAAAGGCATTTTGTTTGCCAAACATATTTATTCTAAAGTGAAACAATGATAAAATTATTATAAGTATTGTCAACACATAGGAGTCAACAATATTATTTGATCAATATTATAGTAAATACAATATGACACATTGATGATTTCTTTTGTTTGTGAAATAAAACTAATTTATGGATTTTCACGGCCACTGGATAGACTGATCTATTTTATGTCCAAACGTCATTAAATCTGGCTACTATAATTTTTTTATGTCTTGTAAAATCTGTCCATTTATTGTTTCAATGGGATTTAATTTATGAATTATAAGCCAATCATCTCGCCCATTAAAACGATGATAGTCACGGATTGAACAAAACACGAAAAATTCGTAAACCGCAAAGATATCACAATACCATTAATGGTTCGCAAAACGCTCTAAATAATAACGCCCGGTTTCTGAAACACTGAACATCGTAGATGTCAACTAATCGCCTGTCAAATGGCTTTTCAAATTACATTTTAGTTACCAAAAGGATAGTTAAACTCTTTGTATTGATCATTCTGATCATTAAGAAGATCATTCTGGTCAATTCAGATAGTTTAACCAACCTTTTGGCAACTAAAATGAAATTTGAAAAGCTATTTGACAGCTCATTAGTTGACATCTACATTGATCAGTATTTCAGAAACCGGCCGTAAGTCTTGTATGTTTTCTGAATTTTTTTATTGGCTGTACAATTGTGTTGAATATTTTGCGATGGTTATAACGTAACATATATTTTGCGATGGTTATAAACGGCACATTTGTAAACATACATATGGTTTTCTAATCATAAACAATGAAGATGAAATTGTATCTAGATAAGGGTAAATTGGGATGAAGCCAGAATATACTCAAAGCTAGCATTAGTGATTTAATAGGTTGTATTATCTTTGTATATTTAGACATGATATGTTTCTATATTTAGTTTACACTTATGTCTAGTGTTCTACCATAGTTATAATTGTTATGTATTAGAATGACCTATATTATTTTGTCATGCATTTTATGCATTCTTGCCAACATACATAGAGGTTTTTATTAATAACTGTAACTGTCCCTTCAATGCTGTATATGCTTGTATAATATAATTCGATTTGTCTTATAATATGTAAACATTTTAATTTGCCATTGTCATCAGTGGGCTGAATTTTATAGGAAACAATGATTCATAACCCATGAATCAGTGATGCTAACCATTCCAACATTTTTAACTTTTTAAATAACATGAGTAATGATTTGTTGTTCTCTAAAATATTTATTGTTTAAACGTTGGAAGTGTTTAATCTTCCCAATGTGTTTATAATTACTCAAATGTGTCACCGTTACACAGTGATGGGTCAATCGATTATTTTTTTTAATAATTTCTTCTTCATTATGGCAGAGCTTTCTGTTTGGATATTTGAAACATATTTTACCAAACAAACCTTTTGTGTTTAAATCACTTCCATTTGTTTATTTTAGATTTGAAATAAACAGTACCCTTTATAATTGCTCATAAATTATGTATAAACTAGTATTAATACTCTGGATATTATATTGATGAGTGCATGGTTAAAATTGTATTTTACCAATGACAAATCTGAATACAAATCAAATATGTAATCCCATTTATGAATAGTAAAAATATAATGATACAGACAGAATTTGTCAAACATCTGTTTTAACATACAATGACAGTCTTTTATAGTGTATTTTTATATTCACAATTACTTTTAGACTTGTACAGACATATGTAAACAATCTCATTTGATCTGAATTTTTTATTTTTGTTATTTCATATTTTACAGATTTTCCATCAATATCATTTTGACAGTGTAACCATAATTGTGTAGGAATAAAACGAATGTATGTAATGGCACCAAAAATTTTATTGTAAAATGGGATATATTTTTAAATAAATACTCTGTGATATATCTAGACATATTTATTTATCACGAAATAAACCCTCTCAAAAAAGGCGTCATGTGAAACGTCGTGTAGCATTTCGCCGTGTTGCTCACAACTAGTGCTAACATCGTTAAATATGTTGGAGTCTCGTATACAACTGTAACAAAACATTAATAATTATAAGTACTAGAAATATTCGCCGCTACAAAAAGAAAACAATTTTTTTTAAAGTATTTCATAATTGCGCCATCTATTGGTATGAAAGACATTTCGAGGTTGAAAAAGCGCCCTCTGTTGAATTATGAGAACAACGCCACAAGCGTTGTCTGTGAACGAAACTGACAGGGAAAATTCTTTATATAATACATTAACTCTGTAATTTTTTTTACATTTGATTGAAAATTACATTCAAAGGATATAATTCAGTTATTTTTGATATTCAAAAATTAATTTGCAACATTACGAAAATAAGGCAGAGTCCAACACTCCTATTCAATTTCGTAGTACTGTTAGAAAACTACCTGTTTGTCTAATTTGGACCTGTCCAGAGGATAGCCAGTAAGAAACTGCAATATCGATATCCTCTTTTTATATTATTGAAGAGTGACTAGGGATCAATAATGCTATCCACAGCTGCCCAAGGCCTGAGGCATGTTCACCCTCCGGGTGCAACACCCTGCGACAGTTGACATAACATTGCTGTCGCTTATTGTATTTCGAATATTGATAATTACAATTACCGCTTAGTTAGAATGTAGTATACTTTATATATTCTTATGTACTTTTTTGCAACTACATTATATTTTACCACTTTTTTTATAATTAGTCCACTAGCTTCGCCAGTTCGGAAATTTTTTGTTGTTCATACTATAGCATTTGTATTTTCTCTGTAAGTGATTTGGTGTAAATCTTTCAAGGAAATAAACATTTTAAACTTTTCACTAAAAGGTGAGTGAGGTGGCCGGAGCCCAACTTTCCAAAAGGTTGCCAACGCATCTGGAACCCTCGGGTGTGGCAGACGTCCATGGGCGGCGGTATTCGCTTAACATCAGGTGAACCGTCTGCCCGTTTGGCAACTTTTTATATAAAAAAAAGAACCTGAGAAGACGTTCCCGAAGACCACGAAGGCGTACAGAGCGACGAGGGCGTAGTGCAGGCTCCTGGCGGCGGAGGCGCCCCACACCAGGGCCGCCAGAGAGAACGCCCCCCCACTCGCCGAGAGCGAGAAAGCGCGCAACAGACGCCCCACTCCGACCGAGCCTGCCGACGGGTAAGAACAACAATAATATTGACGACCCGAATGGCGTAGCGGGTAGTGTACCTGCCTCCTGCGCCTGAGGGTTCGATCCCCACTACTCGAAAAATATTGGGTGATGAACATAGTTTTTCTAGTGTCTGGATGTTTATGTATTTATTTACAAATAAAAAGTATGCTTATCAGTTCTTTAGTTCCCACAGCACAAGCCTTGCTTAATTTGCCACATTTTTACACAACTAGAGAATGTTGTGTAAAAATGTGTCAAAATATATTTATTTATTTAACATTTCATTTGTTGCATGGTGGACTATGACCTAACAGAACAAATTGTCAAATAATTAATGCGGGGCAGTCTTTGGGGACAGATGATAGAAGAGAAAACAGAGTAAATTAACTATAACTAAATTATTGTAAATAAATAAAATAGTTATTATGTTAAAATAATGCTTAATAATTATTTTTAAAAACACTGATTCCAATTGCATGAGACCTATTTCATTTCAGACAATTTAAACCAATAAACAATACTTTTAAGTAATAAAATTGATTATGAGACAAAAGTCCCAGAAAAATTAGTCAATGGCAAAACACGGGACAAGCATTTCGGTGACGCGAAGCTGAGAATAATTATTCCCCAACAAAAATTGCCTAGAGTGCCAATAGATATTTTCACTTCAATAACTCCCATGAGAGATTTGAATAGCACATTATTTTAATACCGCTTTATCCATTTCATAACCTTTCTAAGATAGCGGCGCTAGGGAGAGTGAGATATACCTACTGATTACTGATAGTATCGGGTAACAATCAAAGCTAATTTGGTCAGATCTTAAAAGGCTAAGTAAAAATTATGTCAGCTTTACCTTTACTTCTTGTGCCAACGGACTGTATCATTTCCATTAGTACGTGCGTCGTAGCAATGAAGATTATGATGCCTGCAAAAGAAAACATAATTTTTTTAAAATTCCGAACACAATAAAATTTTTGGAACAAGACAAAAAAGCAGTTACAATTCTTTTTTGTTTCTAAACTAACTAAAATATTATAAATAATATTTGATTAAATTAAATACAGGTTGATTAATAAAGTTCTGAATATAATTTATCGACGCCATCGCGATTGTCATAAACACCATCTATTGTAAAAGACGACTGCTTAGTAGCGCCATCTAGCGGCAACTCTTATACGCTCTGAATCAGAGAAGTGAAAATATAACTGCTTAAGATCGAGAGGCACCTCATGTGCTTATTAAAAAAATCATTAGCTTATAAAAAAAATTGGTCTGACCAAACAAATCTACTTGAAACTGTACATATAAAGAACAATTCAATGCTGGGTCTGTGGTTTTAGGCAAGTTTAGCATTAAGTTTGTGACAGGATGGTTTATGTTAAGTACTAGCATCATTTTTATTATAAATATTCCGACAATATGTTAACTTTTCAAGTTCAATATATTAAAATTCTAAAAAATAAAAAATCTTTAATTTCTATTGTGAATATCATTAAAATTTGTATCATTTGCATCATGTTTCATATTCTTTATTCTTCCTTATTAATTGTGTGTGTTATTAACAGTCTAAAGATATTGTTTAAGACAAGAATATAATAAGAACAATTTTTGATGATCTCTTAATTTCATAAATAAATTTTAAAACGGCAGAAATTTAAAAAAAAAATTGCATTTTTTATTTCTTTTTTTTTTTACGATAATTACAACATATGTGGTTAAAGGGAACAATATTGCAGATTATATCGCGTTTTAATTTGGTTTATAAATTCCTGCCATTTCAATCCCGTTCCGGCGTTCATGGTCATGAGACAGACTGTGTTGCAAAATTTACGATAAAATAATTTTATAATTTTTTTGGATTCAATTGTTATTAAATTTAATAACGTTAATCTCTGTTATCGATGAATCATGAAAAAAAAATATTATTACATTTAACTTAATAGAAACATAGGTTGAAACTCTAAGTTAATTATAAGTTTGCTTGTATATTACTTGAATGCTAAATATTAGGGCAAATGTAAATACCTGAAAGTGTTGAAAGGAACTGCACATAAAAATCTTTTTCCCAGATAAAGAGATCTGTATCATCTCCGCGCCCTTCTTGAATCCAACCTCTACAACTGCTTATCCAAGATTCCGGCAAAGAGAAAGGAATGTTTCTGTAATAGACAACAAACAATCTGTGAGTAAATAATTATGAATAATAAAGCAAAAGTATTGGGGTCATATGCACAGTTTGTCGATAAATTCATCAGCTTAAAATTTGTAGAAAAAACGGAAGGAAAGGTTTCTCGCCGCTGTGGAAATCAAATCCACGTCTTCGTGATTCGCGCCCTGACGCTCTAGCCACTAAGCTATACGGCTGATTGCCACACTGCAAAGTGAAATAAAAAGTAGGTTAGTAATGGCAGATCAAGATTTGTTGCAGGTTTTCAAATTTGTAGCTTTTTGTGTTATTCAACTGGAGAAGTAAGTAATTGTATGGTAACATATTTCACCATTTGTCATACTTGGAGTTAAATAAGCTTGGTAAGCATGGATTTATATTTTTTTTAAAGAACAATTGAGCTCTCCATTCGGGGTTATATAAAACAAATCATTGTCAGTCTTATTGTCATTATACATTTAAAACTTTTACTACCTTCTTATCTTTTCACCATTTATTACCCTTTTTATATATGAAATTTTATGCTAACATAATACCTTGAGATAATATTGTTCCTTTATTATTGTATTAGCTTTATGATCTAGCAAAGAAAGGGATAAAAATATTACTCACTTACATTTTTGTAGAATTGACTGTATTAATACTATTTACATCACATATTGTGTTAACGGCTATTGAAAAAAGGCTGTCACTGCGCCACACTGCATATGTTTCCAGCATTGTCAATATTATGAAGAGCTTCCAGTATGCCTGAAAACATTAGTAACTATATTCACATATTGCCAAATAATACATAAAGTGGATCCCCTTTGTTTTTATTTTAACAAAATGCAAAAATCAAGATTAGCCATCACCACTTTTCCGTGAATATTTTTGTAAGCCTTAAAAGACAACAAGTCTCTATGGTTTCTGGGGTTGTATCCCTTCATTTTGTACTTTGTTACTAATCTTTGCATATAAAAATTTTGCTTGTGTATGTTTGGGACCACAAACCACCAAAAAAAAAATTACAAAAAAATCATTTTAATAATGCTATTCTATAAAATATTTGAGCAATACTATTGTATAAAGCAGCATATCATCCTGTACTTATTTATACTATACCCGCTTGATGGCCAAGAAATTGTAGACAATTTCTTTGGCATCAGCACACTCAATCTAAGTGCTTTACATATGACTATACTTTTTACTATTGGTTACTTTGAAAAAGGTTCTAGCTTTGGTAAATGTAAATAACTTTAACTCTGGCGTAATTCAAATCAAATAAATTTTAAATGATAGAGAAAACTCACTTATGAATTTATCAACAAGCAGAATTCGGTGGTCGCTTATAGTTTTCGAAAAAATAAATAATGAAATAGTGTGATTTTTACTATAGAAATCCGCCATTTTTTTGTTGTCAATATGTCAATTCAGCTCGTATTTCTTGGTGGTCATAAAAAAAAAACCTGACATCGAAGGTTAAGGCGGGAGCGGAGCTCCCGCCTGAACCTTCTAACCTAATCTATCCGAGTCGGATTCGCTCTGTGTCGGTTCTGTGACTCATTAAATTTAAAAAAATCGGAATATCGATACGTGTATGATGTCGCCCGCTTCCTATATTTATCATGTTGGCAGAACTGTGCAAAGAACTTTTGAAGTCAAACAAATAAAATGGTGGATTTCTTAGTACAAAAAACAAGTTTTAAATATTTTTTTTCTCGAAAACTATAAGCGACCGCCAAATTCTGCTTGTTGATTAATTCATTAGAGATTTTTCTCTATCGTTTAAAATTATTTTAATTGAATTACGCCGGAGTTAAAGTTATTTACATTTACCCTAGCTTTTAATAAATATAGTGAATCTTCTAAGAAAGTACAAGTTGCAAATGGTATTAATAGAAAATTCGCAAGTGGATGCTTACCTTAAAATCAGTGTTATACAAAATATGCCTCTGAGCTTCTTTGGATACTAGCACCAGGTCAATCATAACTATAACAGGATCATATTCTATGTACTTGTCTACAATGCCTTTGCAGATGGCCTGGAAATTATAATGTTACATACAGCTTAACACAGCTCAATTATTTAAAATACACACATCTGATGGAATATGTTGAAAAGGACGTAGAATTTTTTTAACATAGTTATATTAATGTGATCTTTTTGAAAAACTTACACATTTTGTTAGTTTTAGAACGGACTTTCCGTACGTTCTGTACAACGCGGAACAGGGCTTCCCACAGTTGACGCATCTATACTTTTTATTCGTAGACATATTCCTTGTATCCACTGTTGAATTTTATTCAAACTCATATCTAATCGCCTGTCATTTATTAACGAATTGTTTTCTTCTTCTTTTAAGGCAGCTGACGTACGAATTATTTGAATACGATACGCAAACAAAACACTTCAAAACAGCGACATTGACGTTTGATTTGACTTGACAGTATGATGACAGTCTTGAGTTTTGACAGATGAGTCTTAGAATTTAGATTAGAACCACAGAGTACTTATAAAAAAAACCTGAAATGTTAAATGTTTAGAACATTTTTCAAAACTACTGACTCAATGGATTTTTCGTATGATTTTCTATCTCCAGTACCTAACCAAATTTATCCGTAGGTTGAATATTGAAATCGGGGGTAATATGATAAATCGTTGTTTGTTTGTTTATTTGCTTAATACGTAAGTTAACATAAATATATTCTAAACAGTATGAATGAGCTTGTATCTTTTATTATTTTTTTACAATTTAATAAAAGATACAAGCTCATAACAACAAAGTTGATGCTGTTTCATAAAATATCAATGCCCAGTAATTCTTGCCTTGCTATAAAAATAAATGTTATGTGATATAAATAAAAAATTAAAATATAAGAATATATAATCAGAATGTATACAAATCTCCTGGAGAATTGGAATTACAAAGCATCAGTATTTTTTTATTTATTAAATAAAAAAAAATTATGTATGTAATTTTGAATTTTTAAGAGCTTCATTGACCCTATAAGATTCAAAGCTGCGTCTAGTGGGTAATGCGCTCAGACATTATCTTTTTTATGAAATGAAAGCGAAATCTCAAACCAGCCGAAACGCAAAAGTATATTTTGCGTTTCGTCTGGTGAGTGATGTAGCCGGGGTCCTCGTTTTTAATGGTTGGCAACGACTTTGCAATCCGTCAGGTGTTATATAAGTCCATAGACGGCCATAACCACTTAGTTAAGTGGTTACACACACTTTGCTACATGCCTGCTTGAAAAATCTCGATTTCCTCACTAAGGATGTCGACCGCTTAGCTGAATGGCTAAAGCATCTGGGTGCTTAACCCAGAAGATGCAGATGAACCTTAGCGGCGGCAATATATTTTTCGACCGTTATAGTATCTATACATTTTCAAAAGAAAGTAGTAATTTCTTAATACACCTGCTTAACGTATGTCGATTTATAAATTTTTCAAGATTTTGCAATAAACATTTATACAAAAAATAATATTTTATCTCTTTCTATCCAAATAATTTAAGTATTGCATATACTCTAAACAACCCCGCAAGGAGAAACGTCATGGGCATGACGGTTTTTCGTGACGATTCCTCATGACGCCACTTTGAAATTTCACTTTTAGTCTGAATATTTACTTTAGTTAACGTAAAAATGTAGCAAAGAGTTTTAAGCATGATCGAAACTCACGACTTTGAACGCGGACGCGGCAGTGCACGCAACAAATCCGATCGCACGAGTCCAGTTTCGGTTTCCGCCGTAGGTTCAGCTGTATGGCAGCTTAAACCAAAACTAAATCGACACCCCTTTTTTGCTGAAACTGAAACCAAAACCGATGGATCGGTCAAACAGTATTATAGTCCTTAAATAGTTTCGAAAATAATTAATTCACGTGCATTTATAGATCCTTTGCCTTTTTAATATTTATTTTCATTTTTATTTTTTTTTATATCACGTTAGCTTTGGTCCGATAGTTCAATTAATTTAAGCAATTTAATACGAATTAATTTATTAAATATTGACTCAAGCACATGAGTTCCTTACCAACGTTTTATGAAATAAGTGAACGAACGTAAAAAAATGGAAATTTAATCATAAAATGAGTGATATACCACTGTCCTATTACGGTATCACTAGGATAGAACAGATGAATTCTAGACAAAAATTTGGTGCATTGATAAATATTATTTATCAATGCACCAAATTTTTTCATAGCACAAAATTAAAATTCTAGAGAACGAGAAAAGTTCACTTGTGAGTGAAATTAAACCTAACCAACATATAACTTTAGGGAGTTTTCGTTTCAACTGTTCTTCAAACACCGCACATTTTCAGCGTTAGCATTATATTTTTAATGAAACATTTCCATATGCTGCGCAATTCTCAGCTCATATTTTAGAACGGTGAATTGAATACATTTATGGCGGGAATTTCCGCGTTGAAACAATCCGGCGAAATACGCGCATTGGTAATGAAAGGAAAGCTAGTGTTTGTGAGTGCAAGCTTAGATATGAAGAGAGCTGGGATGGTTTGTTCATGATTTATTTCATTTTTATGAAGGTTATTTTATCGCTCTTAGCGAAATATTAATAATGAAAACAGTTCTAATTAATTTTATGTATTAAATTGCAAGTAACGATAATATAGTAAGTAATTTCAGATCAATAGGGATATTTTCAGTGAACTAAAATGTTGAATTCTATTAGGAATGTATACTCACACAAGATACTACAATTAATTTAAACTAAATGATTTCTTGAGTCGTGAGCGCCTTTAATTCAATATACTCGAGCAACCTGAGTTTGATCCCCGGTGCCGGCACCAATGAAGTTTTTAACTTTAAGTGCTGATTTATCACGTGCTCCGCGGTGAAGGAAAACATCGTGAGGAAACCTGCATATTTGCGAAAATATAACAAAAAAAAATATATTTCGAAGATATGTGAAGTTCACAAATCCCCAGTGGGGCTGCGTGGTGGACTATGCCCTGATACCCTCTGTATAGAGGAGGCCTTTGCCCAGCAGTGGGTCATGTATAGGCTGTAACTTTACTACTTTAAATGATTTCTTTAATTTACTGCCACGGCTCCACACAGCTTAATGTCTACTGAAATCTTGCAAAATAACGAATCAATTGTCCGCCTTTCAAATCTCGTCGCAGTATATTTTTTAAAGATTTCACTTCAATACCTTGACACAATTTTCACTGAAATGAAAAACCAGCGGTACTTGATACTGGCTTGCATTGCTTAATATGCTTGATAAAAAAAATCCGGCAGTTAAAAAGTTTAAAGCGCGCTATTACATTTAATTATGCGAAAGCATACTCGTAACGAAAATGCATTTTTTTAATTGCTCGATAATAATGTTTTTGGAAAGAGTAAAATAGGAGATGCGTTATGTAGGCAACTGCATTCATCTTATACATGAGACGTAGGAAAGAGTGGCATATAGAATCACCTGTGAAAATTTCAACTAACTATCACAGTTCACGAGATACAGCCTGGTGACAGACGGAGAGACAAACAGACAGACAGCGGAGTCTTAGTAATCCTTTGGCCACGGAACCCTAAAAATTACTTTAAAATGTATATTTAAACTAGTGGACCGGACAGACGCTTCAAAAGACCCATGAGTTGAAGATTGAAAGCACTTCCACGTACAAGCTTTGATCCTTCGGGGCTAAATGTTCTCCGTCCTTATAAAAGTCGACATTTCTTTGTTGAAATAACTGAGAAATTATAAACATGTTAACTAGATGATGTTTCTAATAAGCCTTAAAAATTTCCTAAAGTTTTGAAATAAATTCCATGTTGATATTTATTTGCTTATTTATTTACATTTATTTGTTTATTCGTCAGTAAGGCAACAGCGTTGCAGATATTGTGTTAATCGTTTCATAGAAACGCTAAATTGGTTGCAGAGCGACTTACATGGTAAAATTATTAAAGTAGTGTTTGTGAATTTCGTTGTTTGTTGGCATAGATCGGACATTCAGTATTCTCATACGAATTACCGCGTGACAAAGACGTGGGGTAGTAAGTTGATTATAACGACAAATATATAGACATGACTCCATGGCACAGTTGCCAAGGTATTGCCTTCGGCGTCGGAGGTTGCGGATTCGATCCCCACACAGGATAACTATTATGTGTGACCCACAGATAGTTGTTTTGCATCTGGCTGTTTGTCCGCGTGAACTTTATTTTTGTAAAACGTCCTTAAAAACAAGATAATGTTATCCTAAGGTAATGGCCAAATAGTGCAACGTGAGATGGGGTTGATGGTCAGTTTTAGTGAATATTTTAAACATCAAAGCTTCTCTCAGAGGGCCTTCTCTGACTACTAACACAAGTTTATTTGTGTAACCACTAAGCAAAGATATCCCCATTAACCAACTCTGAAATAAAGCGACACAACTACATTTGTGTGAAATTGTTGTTAAGTTATTTCGGACGGCCCGTTTACGGCCTGTCGGGTTGATGTATACTTATCACACAAGTTGTTTTACCCTCAACTTTGGTAACCCGATTGAAATTTTATAGGAATTAAAATTAAGTAGAAACTCGTGTTCTACATTGTCACAATGTGCACTTGTATAAGAAGCGTTCACAATTTTAAAATACTAGTTTTCCTTTGGAAACTCTTCCTACACAATCGTGATATGTCACCAAATATGTTATGAGTTAATAGAAATAAATGAAAGTATGTGTCTTTATCAAGTCAATAGTGAATATCAGTGTTGTGAAAGAGGTTGTATATTTTATAAAAAATGTTTTTATTATAAAAAATTGGCATAAAAATTGGGTGGCTATCAAGCAGGTGCGTTTTAAGTTTGTCCGAACATTTCGCAGACGCTATCGTGTCGTGAACACAAGTTTTTTATGCTCTCATGTCTCTTGTTTATGTTGTTTTTACCAATTTGGTACTGTAAGAGAACGGACTCTCGTCTCTATAAAATTTTTGAGAATAAACGCAAGGCCTGCGAAATTACTTCGAATGGGAAAGCGCAAGAAATAAATTGGATAAATTGTAAAGAACAGCCGAAATGTAATTTCCATTTGTATTGTTACAATAATTGGAGAATGAGCGAGTTCTCGGTTAATAGTTTCAAATATTTCCAGTTCAATCAGATGAAGCGGCCGACTCTCAAATGAGTTTCTTTTTCGTTTAAAAAGTCCACCTTCGATAGCGATTTGCGCTAACATTTGTGTTTCCAATCAAACCTCTGTTTGTCCCACAATGGGTTCAAGGACGTGCTTTTGATACGTTTTCATGA